AAACTCGTTTAGCTAAACCGGCCAATGTGTGATTTAGCAAATGTCATTTTCGCTTCTGACTCACAGCATTTGTACAAAAGTTTCGAGAATTAAAAAAGCGGAGCAGTTTATAATATAATACAATAATAATTAACTTATTAATTAATGGTAGTCTGATGGTGTGAAATTTGGGACAAAGGGCGAGGGTTTAAAATCGCTAATATCAAGACAAGTATCAACACTTAGCGAAGGATAAATGGCTTTTTCTGCAATCGTTGTTGTTGTTGTTTAAGCCGTACAATTATTACCCATCCAGTTCTCTGGGTGGTGCCAGGTTAGTATTGGCAAATGTAGTAACAGTCATTAGCCAGATAAAGACCCGGATCGGGTAGTTCTAGTATTACAATCGCATTATAGAGGGTCAAACAGATTTACAACATAAGAGTGTCAAATTACTGTTACAGGGCAATCAGATTTGCGATGTAGTGAGTGATGCACTACGATTTATTATACAGAAATAATTAATAAGTCGAATTTGCTTTGTGTCTGATCAGACGCAAGTGCGAAATAAAACAAAATCAAAACAAAGGCCAAGAAAAGAGCAAAACTTTAGGTAATTAATTGCAACGTGCGCATTTCTTGACAACAACACATACAAATGTATGTATATATAGGTATATAGCTTTAATGCTTCAATTGTGGCGAATGTACAGAACGGAACACTCCGTCAAACATCAAGCATACTATATACAATGATCGCAGCATGACGCACACGAAAGCAACACCGGAAGTGCCGCCGGTATGGCCAATGAGAAAGGATGTAGAAAATACATGCGAACACGCATACAATTACAATAAAGTAGAGGAGCGAATGAATTGCAAAAAATGCAATTGCAGCAATAAAAACGCTTATGCATATGTAGCAGTGGGGGCAGTAGAGATTATGGGAAGCCAGATCATTAGTGTGAGTGAGAACAAGCTGATTGAAAGTTGCTGAAAGAGGTAGTGAAAAAGGTAATGACAGTAAATATTACACCAAATCCAATTTCAATTTAAAATTAAACCAACAATGCACTTTATAAATAGTTGAACTCAGCTAAAAATGAACCATTCCATTCGCGTGTATTTGGAGATATGGGAATGTCCAAGCACAAACAACAACATTTGGAGAATTGGTGATTGGAATACTGAATGACCGTGAGCTAAGTTCAATGGGAATGCGTCTAACATATATATCATATCGTTATAATCCACCACACAAGTGGATCACACCCAAAAAGGTCATACCAAAATAACAGTTTCTTGTTAAATGTCTTGAGTTTAGGTGAATTAAAAGTTTGATTGAAAGTATACCGGAGGATGTACAAATATACATATTATATTTACATGCATACATGCGAACAAGTAAAGGTATTAATGAATGAATAAATATCGAAAAAGCGAGGAATTTAACTGCTAGTTCTTCACACAATGCCGATAACGGTGAGCCAATGAAAGAAAGTTGATCCGTAGAAAGCGGTAAGAGCAAGCTGGTTAATAATGAGGAAATAAAGTAGCGACAAAAAAACCCAGATGTACTAGGTGTGTTCGAAAAGTATCGCGAATTTTGAATTTTCGCGGGTTACGTATAATCGAATTTCGATTTTTTTTTGTCATGTCTCTCACTTATGACGACAAGATCGGCCATTTGAAAGTTCACTTAATTGTTGACAGCTGCTTTGCTTGCACGTGTTTTGGATGGTCTTCCATTTTTACCTATTCAAAAAAATGGATCAAAGAACCTGTATCAAATTTTGTGTGAAAAACGAAATTAAGTGCGTGAATGCATTCCGAGTGTTGACTGTGGCATACGGAGAAGCTACCTTGGACCGATGCAACGTTTATCGGTGGTACAAAATGTTCTCAGAAGGCCGAGAAGATGTGAACGACGAAGAGCGTGCTGGGTGCCCGAGCACTTCAACAACAGACGAAAAAATTAATTGCAGGGGTGTGGTGCATTATGAGTTCTTGCCACAGGGTAGAACGGTCAATAAGAAATATTACCCACAAGTAATGAGCAATTTGCCCGAAGCAATCCGCCAGAAACGCCCGGATTTGTGGAAGAACAAAAATTGTCTTTTGCACTACGATAACTCCCCTGCTCACACATCGTTGCTTGTGCGCGACTTTTTGGCCAAAAACAACACACTAATAATGCCGCAGCCACCATATTCCCCAGATCTGGCCCCCTGTGACTTTTTCTTGTTCCCTAAACTGAAGAGGCCCATGAAAGGACGATGTTACGCTACGATTGACGAGATAAAGACGGCATCAAAGATGGAGCTGAGCAAGATAAAAAAAAAAATGATTTTTTGAAGTGCTTCGAAGATTGGAAAAACCATTGGCACAAGTGTTTAATATCTCATAGGGATTACTTTGAAGGGGACAAAATAGACATTTATGAATAAATAAATAATTTTTGAAAGAACACTAAATTCACGATATTTTTTGAACCTCGTATAACGTTATACGTATTATATATAATAGAAGTGAAGATCTCAAAATTAATTAATTATTCTAAAACATATCCTGTTTACGATAAGTTGTCATTGCTGCAGGCGTATGGAATTCTTCAGAGCCAAGGGAGAGGGGTATTTAATGGGGCATACAAGAAGCGAGCGATTGAGTATTAACCCTAGAGAAGGTGCTATGAGCATTTTGGTAACACAATTTTTTAATCGTAAAAATCTCTAATTTTTATGTTATTGAAACACTTGTTAGACTCAGTACCTTCGCTAATTGTTAAATAAATAAATAATTTAGTTCAAATTTCAACTTGTGACACTATATATGTATAAAATAACTGAATATGTAAAGTACGTGAGCAAAATTCTTATTACTAACACAGGTGATATAGAAACGGACCAGAACCGCTTATCTATAGAAATTATAAAAAAAAAAAAACGTTTGTAATGGTTTTCCTTTTAAAAAAAAAAAGATATACATATTTTCGAATCAGCTGGATACAAACTTTTGCAAAAAAAAAACAACAAATTCACATATTTGGATTTAAAGAAGCTAGCGGGGGGAAATAAAGCGAAAACAAGTTTGTTCGGATTAGTTCTGGAGTTTAACCAAATAAATAAATTCTGTAACATAGTTTGTATAAACAATACTATAATATAAAATGGATGTACTTATATAATGTTCATTGCAACCCCAAAAAAACAACAACCTTCGGACTAATATGAATGTTTTTGTTAGAGCGGAATAAAAAAATAATAAATAAAAATATACGTAATTATATGCATATATGCACTAACGCGAATGTTAAAAATAAATTGGCAACGCAAAAACGCGGCGAAAGTGTGCGATGAACAAGCCACGTGTAGCGAGAACGAAAAAAGATATATACAAATAAAAATATTAAAATTGCGAATTCCAAAATAATGCGAAATACCATTAATTCACTTCATGTAATGATAAAAAGGGAGCGCATTGACACCTATGTAAAGCAACCGTTTCTTTGTCAGGTTGTATTTTCTGGTATAAGCCAATTGAGGTCATTAAATTGATGAGACTTGTGTCTAACTTGCTGACATTTTTACTCAACGTCATGCTTTATAAAACTAGTATTTTTTTTGAATACTGCAGGATTGTTAGTAATTGAATAGACTGTCAACGGAGCTTTCCGCTTTAACTAACACTTATGGCCCACATTTCGTATTGTCTAGTAGTTAGGACGCAGGAATATGAACAAAGCTTATGATATCCTCTCATGTTCAAAAATATTCCTTCAGCATAAAAATATTATTCTATCAATCGGACTCAGTTAGATTTGTGAAGTCCTCTTGGAAACATAAATGAGATCGTATACATAGGTACTTTCCTTGAGTGTATAAAGTTGTAATCTCTTAATAATCAAACTGAAAAGAAAATACAAATAAAACCTTTCAATTGTCTCCTAGAAATGTAAACAATACACCTGCTAACTTGTAATAAGATTGAATCCAGAAGACCTATAGCCAGTGAACAGCTTAGTTCTGAATTCCAAAACGATTCCCAACCGAATAAATGCAACACTGCGTAATGCAAGTGCATAAACAATAACATTCCATACGGCTAATTCTCACACAAACGCAAAGTATAGAAACATCAGCAACCACCATTATAATTAGCAAACGGACGCAGCAGCAAAATATATAACCAACAGTGCGGTAGCAACAACAAACGCCAACAAAATGAACAGCATATAAAACTAACAACAATAAGGCATCCGCAACCGCTACCGCAATGCCCCCGTCCATCACAGCAACAACACCTAAACTCGAATACAGCTCTACCGCTTCAATTTTTTTTCCTTCGGTACTTTGGTATAACAACGCGCATAAAAGATAGCACAGCGTCACTGAATCTTCCCTTCGCATTCCATTTTCTATTAGTCTTTTGCTTTTGTTGGCATTGGTGTTGCTTCAGCTCCAACTGCCGTTGCTGTATTTTTTTTTTTCGCTGTCGGCACTGTTATTGTACTCATGGCCATTCGCTCTCTGTGCGCACATTTCATTCTCTTTTACTCATATATGTACAATCAGCAAAACGAGAAGTGCAGTAGCAGAAACGTCAGCAGCGTCAGTATTCCTTTGGCTCTGCGTAGCGTTTCTGCATATTTTTCTCCATGTTTCTTTTTCCACCACTTCTATTATATTCTTTTTTCACCGTCTTTTATCGCCTGCAACATACTTTGTCATATTGGTTCAGACTGCATTGTATGGACTACCTCTTTTACTTATTCTGGCCGCCTTTTGCTTTTTCTATTTTCTTTTGTCTGTTCTAAAAGGATTCTGGTTGAGGCTACGACGACGGCGACGACGTAGACCGCAGCAAAACTCTGCTACAAGCCAAGCCGCCGTCGTTACACCCAGAAAAACTACCAACCTCAATTTAACCAAATTTTTAATCAATTACAGAACTTATTATCGTGGGCTAAAATAAAAATAATTTCATTTTGATTTGTATAAATCTTTTCATATTATCTATCACACCTTTTACTTTTCCGGTTGCTGAATTTAAGATGTTCGTTTTTGACGAGTCGCTTATTGAGATTGGCCCGCGTCACTGGCGTCGTCCAACCAACAGTATAGCGACTTTGTATGCTCTATAAGCCTTGTACCGATTATTCGCACAATTGGCGCTTAAAAATTTAGCAGCCACGAAAACACATTAAGATATTTAAACAATTTTTCCTATTGGAGACGCGATTTTGATTCTTTATAGTATTAAGATACACAATACAAATCCGTGAATCATGAGTACGACCAAAAATAAAAACTTAGTCAATCCGCCCGTTTAATATTTTCTTCCATATAGGCGGCGACAAAGGCGACGTACCAACGTACACAAACACACACGCGCACAAAAACAGACACTGGGCCCAGGCGGTGCTTTGCGGGACGACGTACACCACACTTGCAAATGGCCACAAAATACTTTTTGTTTAACAAACAAATCTGGATAACCAAAAAACCATCTCGCTCATATTCATCAACCTTACATGCATTACTTTTCCCCGCATTTTTTTAAATTAATTTTCAACATATAAAAGCACAATTCTTTTTTAGCTTGGGCTAGTGAAAATTTTTTGTATTGAAATTCACACACAACACACACAAAAGAAAGAAGATTCTCCACTGCTTTCTGCTGCCTTTTCTTCTTCCACACAGATTTTCTTCTTCTTTTGGTATTTCTAGTAGAGAACGTCCACAACGAACATAAACCAGCATAAACCAACGCGACGAACGAGTGAGCGAACGAAACAAACTGATTCGCTGTGATTAACCAAGAGAAATGAAATAACAGAGTCCAATTTGCAGAGTTGCTTATTGGGTGTACATTCCAAATGGCTATTTATCTATTGTTCAACCGATGTGTAGTTAGAATAAATTACCCAAATGAAGGTTTATTTTTATATACAGAGGTTTTCAAATTATACAAGTAATTTATCTTTCATGATGAAAGTAGAAAAAAATCCAATTGATTTGAAAGTACAAAAAAATTAAAGTTTAGCGAAGCAACTCTGTAATAAGAGCTTCCACATTTGCAGGAAATAGTACGAATATATGAGCTGTGATTTCCTAAAGTGAAATTCGTAGAGATTCACTGATGTGCGACAGGAAGAGCATGATAGTTTTGCAGGTTTTAAAGATTGCTTTATAGTAAAAACGAGTTTACATACGTTATTAACTTTTATTACTTAACAATCGATGCCTACACAAAAATTTTATAAGAAAATAAGAAAGAACTGGGTTTTCATTTGGTATTAGTATAAATGAATTCGATGAAAACAGAAACGAAACCATAAAGCTTTTCTGCGATGTATCCCTAAGATTTCTAAGTATTGAATATAAGAGATTTTTTAGGATCTGCTTTTAAAAGATTTTGTCTTATAGGTATAGTTCAAGATTGTCTTATTATAATTTATTTTTGTGTAAAGTTTAGGGCGCATAGTAAAAGTTTTAGGCTGAACGATATATACCTCCTAGTAAAACAGAGAGTTGGCAACGCAATTCTTATTGCCAAAATTAAACAGAAAACAAAGTGTATTACACATTCACACACTCGTTGGAAATAATTATTACAGAATCGAATAAAAGGAAAGTATCTCATATAATTTAATTCATGGAGTACCGTGCTAGCTGTAATAACTACTGGGCAACTTTGCAAACACATTAAAAGTTTAAGAAAACTTTAATATATTGACTAATTAAACTACCGGTTCGCTATAAGGGCTTGAAAATTGGCAATAACTTTACATCCTTTATTTCGGAGTGACGGCTGTAAAGGCTTATTATTTCCAGCTACCACGGCCGAAACAAAAACAAGACCCCTTCTCGCAAACGCAAAAAATAAGTGTAAGGAGTTATTTTCCCTTTCTTTATTAACAGACATGACGCCTTTTGACGATTTCGTTTTTTTCATTAATCATGTGCTACTGGGAGATGAGCCGGTAAATGTGAACATTTTTTTCTATGTCAATTTATAATTAGATTTTTTCCATGTATTGTTCGCTAGACAATTGAGGATTTTATCCTGCTTGTAGGCACATTGGTGGCTTTCATTGCTTTCATACTTTGGTGCTGCTTTCCAATACAGCCGAAGGTAGGCTATCATGGATACACAATGTTTCGATTTAACTTTTTCATAATTGTTTTATTTGGATTATTTCGTAGGATGGTATTAATCATCGACAATTATCCTGCAAATCCCTTCAAAACTCACTCGAATCTGCACAAGTGCGTAGCAGCTATAGCAAACTAGCGTGCAATGAATATAGTATAAAAAACGGTGGACATGTATATCATTGTTGTACTTAAATAATAGAAGACTGAAGCATCCGCCAACAAATAAAGACAATTTAATTAAGATATAAATAAGCAATTTACGCAGATAATCGAAACATTCTTCAATAAGATGTACTACATTATTTAGCCATAGTCGGACACAATACAATTTTAGTGTAGAGTGAGCCAACTGCACATTAAAAGATGCCAATAACATGATAAAATCAAATAGGGAATAAGCTAAAAAAATTTGTATGATAATAATATTTACTATATTACTTCAATTTGATTCCCGCATAAAAACGCAATTTTAAATTGACAGTAATATGAAAAACAATTATTTAAGTAGGAACAGTTGTAGTACTATAATATCTAAGGCATATTGAAGACAAAATAAGGCTGCGTTTCGCTAAAGCGCAAACGTTAAATGATAGTTTATTTTATTTTGATTGACATTTACTTTCGATGAAATCGAAAATAATGTAAATAATGGTAATTTAAACGAATCATTAATGAATTTAAATTCATATAAATATTTATAATATACATATATGTGTGCTCACGATACCAAATGTAAAACCTTTATCAACAAAACATGAATATTTTTTTTGCATGAAAAGACGATTACCGAAGGTGCTTTTTATATTTTTATTAGAGTAGTTTTATGTAAAACGAATTTATTATCTGAACTCTTAACGAAGTGCTTCTCATTTGTACTGTAAATGAAGTTTAAGAATCACACAATATCACGTTGTTTAAAAACACATATTTTGTAAGTAACGAAACATTTTCTAGGCTTTCTTAAACGTTTTATTCAACCCTGCTTTGACCTTTTGAATCATTTCATTTTTAATTCAGCCATCTTTTGTAAAACTAAGTCTCTTGTTAGTTTTATTGTTTTGTATGTTCTTTTTAGTTTTATTCATTGGGGATTAAATAACTTGTCCTAAAATTTATGTTCGTTAAAAACGACTTAGTTTAAAATCGGAATTTGTTTTCGAAATTGTTGCCATATATATATAATGTAATTTAAATCAGAAAAATAAAGTGAGAAAAAATAATTATTAGTTTCATATCATTTTATATTATTTTATCACATGCTATGCCACTATTACCCCAATTTTTATTTCACACATTTGTATATGTAATATTTTGCTAATTTTTTTTTTAAAACCTTCATACGTACATACATAGAATATTGTATATATATATTTTCTTAATACTAAAAATATGTTAACTCATGGAAATTTCAGTGAAAAATTTTAACAATAACTATACCTGCTAAGCATCAAGAGAACGCCAAGTAAAAATAAAAATTAATAATGAAGTATGCCGTTTCAGTTATTATTTATGCACAAAAGGTAAGGTAAGGTAAAAAGTAAATGTAAGAACACCATTGTATTTCAATAAAAATCTCAAGGCAGCCGCTTCTACGTAACGGAGTTGGCCCGCGACTGTTGGTCTGATAAAGAGTGTAGTATGGCGACCTGTACTGACACTAGCATCGGAATACTTACGCATAAAAATTTTGATCGACAAGCCTCCCGACTTTGTTTCCGCGGATCACCGGACATTTGTTAACTTCAAAAGAGTTAAATGGCCCGGCCTCACGGAACTCACCGATAACGCCTTTAGTACTCTCCCCTCTCCATCAGATGTCACTACTGGTGAGCATTTATTCCGCAGGGTAGTCGTGACCGCTGCCGCCCGTTTCATCCCGGGAGACCGAATTGCGGAAATCCGCCCAAATTTTCCGACAGAAGCGGCGGTACTAGCATCCAGGCGCGACACCCTTCGAAACTCCGATCCCGGGTATTCTAATCAGGGATTTAAACCCAAGCGGAAAAAGTGGGAGGACTTTTTACACTGCATCCTTCGGTAGACAAAACGAAGCGACGTGCAACACGCCGTATGTGCAAACTGCCAAACACCGGCGCGGCGCTTGATTTCCACAGGGAGGAGGTTCAGTGGGTTATTGGAAATCCATCGGCTTCGACGGAATAAGCATGCTGATGCTCAAACATCTCCGACCAGCGGGAGCAGAACTTCTCACGAAGGTGCTCAAGTTGTCTTTGACCACCCTAATCATACCTGATGTGTGGAAAACGGGTTATTGAGGGTCATTGGCTACCTGAGTGGTCGACAGTCATCGGTAATATTCCGAGGTGAAACATCGAAACTCAGAAAAATTTAGCAGGGGGTTCCGCAGAGTGGAGTCCTCTCCCCGCTACTGTTTAATTTTTATATTTCGAAACTCCCTCCTCCACCAGAAGGGGTTTCCCGAACCTCGTATGCCGATGATTGTACGATAATGGCGTCTGGCCAGGATATTCATGACCTCTGTACTAAAGTGAACTGATACCTTGCCGAGCTTTCTCACTTCTTTACTGCACAACAATTCAAAATACAGCCGACTAAATCCTAGGCTACCCTCTTCACCAGCTGGACCAAAGAGTACTGGCTCGAACTAGATATGAAGGTCAAGGACTTAAAAATTCCGACTGTAAATAACACCAGTTAGCCTGTACTTCTTCACTCCGCATACGACCGCAATTGCCGCAAAACCCCAGAGCCGCAACAAAATACTCTAAGCGCTATCCGGCAGCACCTGGAGTAAAGACAAGGAAACTTTGCTAGCATCTTATAAAGCAATTGGCCGGCCGGTCGTAAACTATGCTGCACCGATCTGGGACTGCGACAGAAAACCTTCTGATGTCGGAGGAGCATCACGTGCACAGCGAAACATTTATGCTATGAGTTAAGTAGCACAATGCTTTGCTGTGCAAGCAGTTCCTATTGGGATGCTACCGCAGGGAGGCAGTCAACACCTTCAAAGATTCCCTTCCACTGAATGACGTGCTCGAAGTAAAATCACCACCCATAGAAGTCAACGAGCTCGAGCTGCTTCGAGAGACCCGTGTGACCTTGGCCCAACTTAGGTCAGCATATCCATCGTACGCCCTGCATGTGGAGAGTCTCCGCACGATACTAACCACCTCTTCACATGCCCTATTAAACCGACTCTACCTCTGGTCCAATCCCGTCGATACAGCACGTTTCCTGGACCTCCCATTAGATGATCTGGGCGACTTAGATTAATCAAACCTGTACCTAAGCGGGGTTAGCGAACGGCTACAACAAAAAAAAAATTGTGGTTCTAAAAACATAAATTAAAATAAAAAAAACTGTATACATTTACATTAAAAAAATGTTAATTATCTCAGTAGTAAAAAAAAGTTTAGTCTAAATAAATAAAAAAATATGTAAAGACGAGAAGTTTATCTATACCTTTTACCTAAAAAAAAAAAATTGAATGCCCCTGATTTCTTTTCATAAAAAACTTTAGTAACATAAAAAAATATATATGTACGTACGCACATCTTTTTTAATAAAAATATTTAGATGCTTTTAAGAATATATTTTCGTTTGAATAACATATAAACTCATTTTTATCTACCCCTAGTAGGAGCCGAGCCCTCCAGTAACAAACAACAACTTTTTTATTTCAAGTTTTTTAATATATCTAATCATACATAAGTATATTACATACTCTGCAAATAATCGTTGTGGAGGAAAAATATATAGTAAAAAAAAAAACAAAAAAAAAAGGCATTAAATATAAGTTATAAATACTTTAATTAAAAAAACTAAAAAAAAAGAAAGTTAAAAATTATATTTTTTTCTACATGTAAAAAATATAATAAATAATATTAATTATTACCCAATTGAGTATATAAATTCACGTAATACAGATTTACATAGCCTTCTGTATATTGCAATTAAACATTTAGATTTCCCGCTGTGATTTTATTTCTTTCTGGCACTAATGGATTTTCTATAGCACAAATTTTTTAAATGTTAAAAATAAAATAGTAAAAATAAAAATTTAATAATAATTGTAATTTTTTAATAATATGACTTCTCAACTAGAAATAGTTGTTAATAGGTATCTCCAGCAAAAATATATAACAATTACTACACCCTACATACATTTCCAACTTATCTAATATATAATAATATAACCTAAAAATTCAACAGCTAAAATTTGGCTTCGCATTTTGTCATTATTAACAAATAAATTTGGTTTTTTCTCCACCTTTATATCGGACAAAAAAAACTAAACAGTCTTAATTAGCTCGCGTTCGCACTTTAACATAATTAAAAAAAAAATATTTACAAAAGTATATATATAAATGTGAACTACATATAAAGTGATTTCAACGCCTTCTCTCTCCACTTAATTGCTCATTAGCATTGTTCGGGAAAGAATACATTCATTTCGATTAAAATTTGTAGCACAATGAATACTAAATAGATGCCGATTAACGCAACACCAGCCCGTTTCGTTAGACGATAACCGCTAAAACTCAATATGAGAAAGAGTGAAGCGGTACATAGCAATAGTATGAGAATGTTGAACTCGATACCTTGTGCGGCAATATTTATCACGGCACTGCCATCTGTTTTGCCATAATTCATGCAATTCTTAATGAACCATGGCACGCCCAACGACAGGAGAATAGCGAGGGAGTTGGCGCCCAGCGAGTTCGACACACCAATGCCGTTCTCACCTAAATGAAAAAGGGAAAAAAGAGAAAGTGGATTATAATTTGTTTCTTGAAACAGCTCTATTTTCAGTTTAAACTCTGATAAAGAATAGAAAAATAATTAGAAAATCAAAAAGATTTATTAACACACCATTGCGCAGTGAAATTAAACTGGATACCGCTTCAGGCATAGTTGAACCAGCTGCCAAGAAGGTGAGCCCCATTATGATTTCTGGTACGTTTATCGTCACACCTGGAATGGATAGAAAAGAATTGGGGATTTAGTAAAAAAATTTGCGGTATACCATTAACTTAACTGTTATGAGCTCATGAAAATAAATATTTAGATTTCAGTCGCAACTTTTTTTTTCTACCCCACCTCCTGCCTGGAGGGCAAACTTAGTTAATAATCAAAGCGGGGACTTCCCCTTGTTATTTATAAAAATAATTAGCCTAAAAATAATTTTAAGCAAACGGAATGTACTCGTATATACGATATACTCTTACATACGTAAGTACAATATATTTACAAGTAATTATCGCTACAGAATTACAGCAAACAACAGAATTCATCTGAATGGCATTAACTCACAACAACTTTTGTAAATAAATAATAAAAAACTTATTATAATTAAATAATAATCATTAAAGATTTATAATTGTCACTGATTAATTTATAATTTCCCTATTTTACTTACCAAAGGCTGTCAACATCCACACAATCATATAGGCATTTAGACCAATAGCAATGATGCACATTATGAACGAGAGTGGATAGAGGCGACGATGATGCGCGGGATTGGGTATGACGAAAGTGAGTGTAAGTCGTATGGGAAATATGAAGGCCCACCAGAATTTTCGAAGTTTCGTCTCACCATGTGGCAAAGAGAAGAGTCTTTGTGGTGGTGGTGGTACATCGTCGCTTTCGTCGCTATTCCCTGGAAAAAGAGGATATGAGAAAAGATGTCGGTGGGATGTAAAGTTTATTGATGCTCAACTTACAGCTCTTCGAATGCGTTAAATTCACTATGGATGAGGTATTATCGGGTAAATTTATCACAAATAAACCATCACCGCCCAAGTGATCCTTTTTAAGAGGTAACCGAGCCTTCGCACTATTTTCTGGTGGTTCAGTGAAGTCTGAAGAAGAAGAGTAAATAAATATGTATTGATTAAATGTAATATACCTATAAAAATTTAATTATTAAAACACCAATTTAAATAACTAAATTGTAAATTAATTAAAATTGAAGGAAAAAAGATTTTGAAAAATAACATTAATAAGATAAAAAAAAAAAAAAACATTAATAGGTTAAAAATTATAAATTTCACAAAAGTTTAAATTTCCAAATTTTTTACATAAGTTGTTATGTTTCCCTTCCATAATGCTCACCATATCGCTTTGATATGCAACAATTCATCTTATCTTCGACGAAAACGCGTATGGCAGGCATAAATTTGTTGTTGTTAAACGTAAGTAAATAGTAGAAAATGAGGAATCCCATCATTATGCATGATTCGATGAAGTTAATATAACCACCCCAAGCGAGTATAATGAGTACAATCGTATTGAAGCCATAGATGACACAGTCCCGTGCTATTGGCCACCAGTCAAGTTGAACAGGCTAAAGTGAGTGGATAAAAACAAACGATAGAAAAATAGTGAGTACAACAAAATGATATGTTTTTACGTATACGCCAAGTACATACCTTATTAATAGACAACGCCCCCAGCGCCGCCACACCCAAAGTATTGAACATCAGCGAGCCGATAATTGTGCCTAAACCCATATCCGAGTCTGTAATGAGCGTACTAATCGTATTGGTAAAGAACTCAGGCATCGAGGTGGCAGTGGCCATAAATGTGGCAGCAGCAACATCTTTCGATAAGTTCAAATCTTCACATATACATTCTACAGTGGGCAGGAAATAGTCATTACAGATGATGGCGAGGAGTATGAAGAAATAGACGGCGGCGAAGACGTGTAACACAACCCAGCCTTGACGTAATTCATCCACTGTAGAGAGAAGAAACAGTGATAACTTTTACTATTATAAAATTATAGAGTGATTGGCGTGATTGGCGCACAAACAGTGGTTTCCGTTAATTGTCCAGCCCTCCGAGTGTATTTCTGATATGAAACAAAACTGTAGGTCCCTAATTTGACGGTTACGTGAATTATATATGTAAAGCCTGATAAGTCTACCAAAAGGTACCTAAGTACATTTTGATTATTTTTTGCAGTTACAAACAATCGTTAGATTGGAAAACCAATATAGCCTGTATACATACCACAATCGTAAATACAAATTAATATATAACATATATAATATTCTATTATCAGTCATTCCAAAGAATGATGATTATCTTCTCTATTGTGTTTGTTTTCTTTCTGTCATGCCTCTTTTAAATTTCAATTTAATTTCGACGATTATCAATTACGAAGTCTCAAGCAGTTCTTAGACTTCTTGAAAATAAAAAAGCTGTATAATTTGATAAGTGAATAGCAAATAATAATGAAAAATATTAAAAAATATTTTCATGTACGTAGAGATTGACTGGGGATAAGATAAAAATCATTATTAAAAAAAAAAAATTTATAGAATTTTTTTTTTTTTTTATTAAATTTTTTTAAATTTTTAAATTAATTTTAATGTTTTTTTTTGTAATTAAATATATTCAGTTATGTAATTTTTTTAAATTTAAATTTTATTTATTTTTTATTTCTAAAAACATACGAACACCTTCGTCCTGTTTTAGTCTCCATATCCTCTCTGTGGTTTAGTCTTAAATAAGCAGTGAAAATCATGCCAACAGCGAAGACGCCCGGCGATACTATTTTAAATAAAGCTAATTTTTGTAACGCTTTTAATTCAAATAAAACCGTTACTGAAGCTCGTGTAATTTCATTTTGGAAATGTTTCAGTTTTTCAATTCTGTTCATAATTTACTTTTTCCACTTACATGTAAAGTATTCTGGAAATTCATCTAACGGTGAACCGGTATCATCAGTTTCGCATTGCTCGCCTTCACGTGCCAACGGTTGATGTAGCACATATTCTATATAGTGGAAAGTTTGCTCCAGAAACGTTTCGTTATAATCTGAAATGAAAATGGACGACATTTTATTTCAATTCCACTACAGTTTTTGAATCAACAAATTTATTAAAGTCACGTTCTCTGCCTATATTTATTCGTTTTGTTTATGATATCGACTTATCTTGAACATAATCAGATGTATCTTTTATTGGGTGGAAGACGGTTTTACTAGTCATTCTTAGAAAATTTTGCTTCGCTTTCAATTTAACTAACATCTGTTTCATGTGAAGCGAGAACGATTCTCTGAAGCTGTCAAAAAAGTAAAATATTTATTCGGAACTCTCTAACGAGTAATTAACTTTCAGCAAATATGCCAATATGCAAATCTTTACGAGCCTTATTACCGCTATTAACACATCATATAATCTAGTTTGGAAGTTGTAAAACGAATTTATCTGTGGAAAATGTGTTACACATATGAGATATTGTTTGTGGAATACATACATACATATTCTAATCTAACAAGGTAAGTTATTGTTAGTGGAAGTTATTTCTTCTTGCTTCTCCCTACATGGCCTTGAAATTGGGCGTATTGTTTTCCAGTAAATTTGTAGTAAATCAACAGCTATAATGTTTATTGGCTTCGAGAATACCTACAGATTGGGTAACACTCAAATCAATAAAAAATAATCAACACAAGCGATTGAGTAGGCTTTATTAAACTTAAAAATTCATGATTTTCTTAATTTATCAAACATTCTAAGGTAATTAAAAATTTTTCAATGCAGCTATTTCTTTAGAGAAAGGAAAAACGTCCTTAAAATAGTTTTTCCTTTTTGAAATTAAAAAATGTTGTAATTTATATATATATATATATATATATATATACAATTTAATACAACAATATGTCACGTATATATATATATATATATATATATATTGACAGCGCACATGTGAAAACAAGTCATTTATTGAAGAAGAAAAAAAAAATGCAAACAACAAAAACAAATGCATGCAATAACAACAACAGCAAAAAAAAGTGTCAATAAATTATTGCTATTAATTTACGTATGTCATTTGTTTTATTTACATATCAGCGTGATTACAGCAACAGCAAAAGCAGCAACAAAAACAATTTATAGCAATAACATAATAAAAACAAAAACATTGATTAGCGGCGTTTGTTATTTATACTATATGTGCATACGAATGTGTTTGTTTATTTGCATTAATGAAGTGTGAAATGTGTTGGCGCAGAGTTTAGTGTTGAGAGTGTTAAGCGAATACAAGCTTTAGAAAAGAGTTTTTGTATGGTTTAGAGCGTTTCTAACGCTGCCTCTTTGAGTGAAATGCGATTATGAGTAGATTATTTGGGGTTTTATTACGTTTGTGGTGATTAACTCGAAGTTAATGTGGCTATAATCGATTTAATCAACTGCTGTATGTGATTGATTACTTAAACTGAATATAGGATAATAACTGTATTCAGCGAAAAATTTAAAAATATCATGCATATTGGCAAGTGCATATGTACATACATATACACGTATATTTTGGTATAAATGCTTATAACGGTATAAGTATTTAATAATTCATGAGAATTCTGTTTTATTTCATACTCGTTTCTCAATGACAATTTGTCACATTTTTTTTTTTGACATTTGTTTATCGATGTAAGTATGCATGTATGCATATCTTTTTTTTTATTTTTCGATAATCATCCATTTCCATTTTGTGTGTGTTTTTGTCAGCACCATAAGTGCTGTTTGAAATTAATAATGAACATAAAAAATAGTAAATAAGAATTAATTTAAATAATACTTAGCAAGTCAGTCATGTCGAATATGATAGGCCGTTAATATCAATGATAATAAGTTAAAAGATTGTTGGTGGCATAGAGATATTAAAGTTAATAAAAAAATATTAACATATAAACATACATATGCTACAACATTACCTAGCTTATTTCAAATATGTACTTTTCATCTCATAACATTAAATATTTTCAAACTCTGCTAAAGAACGAAACGTAAGCTGAAGGGTTCAGTGACATTCGAATGTATGCTTGTGACTCTTAATTATTATTATTTTTTGGAATTGTTGAGTATTCCAGAACGTCTAGGTAAACATGAAACATCAATTTCGATATATGTGCGACGGTCGATCATTTGCGCTACCAGGAAGTAATAATAATATCAAGGAAAGAAATTTATTTTGTCCATTCTAGCGCTGCATATACATTTTCTTGAAAATCTTATTTTTACATGAAAACAATAATATTCATTTAATTAAATACATAGGCATTCTATTAATTATCTAAGTAGCAATCATCGAAAATAATTTACGCATTCTTATCAGTCAATAAAAATAAAATTAAAAAACGTGTGTATGTAGACTGTCTGTAGTACATAAAATGATTTAAGTGAGAAATTATATATAAAATTATCTAAATCAAGATGTGTATGTATGTTTTTGAGAAAATCAAAATCGACGCTCGCCACTCAATCACAATCGAAAAATCGTCACCACGTGTGTTATTTTTTTTTATAAAACGAACGAGTAGTTAGCAGTGCGTGCGTCAGTCATATTCCGGCATGATCGATATGAATTTGTATTTATAAGAATAGGTCCACCAAATTTAGTAATGCATTTTCGTAATTCATCATATTTCGCACATTTTTATCAGCCACGCGCATACTGGCAATCACAAGTACTGCCTCGAAGGTACACTCACACATGTAAAGCAGAGTATAAGAGTATCATCACTTAAAACTTTAGTTTTACAAAATCGCCACTTATTTTATTCTAATGTTGCCTTTTGATAACCTCTTCGATATAAATCTACTTCAAATTGATTGCTCTTATCGGATATCGTAAGTTACTCACTGCGGTGTTGTCAATCATTGCCGTCTGGTTGTTAGCTCATAAAACCCTACAATAAGTGATAGATATGCTGCATGTGAGTGTGTGTTGTACGTTGATAAATTATTTACGAGTATATTAAATAATATTTATAATGACATAATTAAAAAATCAAAAAGTAGTCAAATAATTTATTTACATATATTATTATAATATATTTTGTTTATTTTTTATCTTTAGTATTGATAGTAAAGTAAGTGCTGGCATTATCTTGCGATATGCATTTATTATGATTTTAGTGAAAATAAGTGCTAAAATTTTTCTGACCAGTTCTCTATTTAAACTTTCCCTATAGCAATATCAATCGTAGTAATTATAAAATACCCTATTCGCGTAATTAGTTGACTTCATGGCATTGAAAATTGCTACCAGAAATAATGCTATTTATTAACTAGTCAATAAATAAATACAAACCAACAATTACAGCGAACTTTGTTTCTGCTAACAGTAATAAGTAAATAATTTAATATTGATTTAGAAGTAATCGATTGTGAGAATTGCAATGTGTCAGCAGATTCGCTACTTTTATTTCATTTTATACATTTTAGTATTTATCGAACATTGCTGAGAAAATTACTGTACCAAAGTAATAACTTGTATTGAAATAATTATATTCTTTTTTTTTCTTTATTGTTATTAGCACGCGACTCTTTAGCGCGTGCTACAGAGTGAGAATAATTTGTGTTAATCGACTCTTTGGGTGGTTTGCTGTCGTGCAAGTATCAGTTGAGAGATGAATCAGTGTTCAATAGATTTTTTATGAGAAAATGACTTTTGAACTTTCTGAAATATTTTTTAATAAATTTTTATCGATACCCTGACGTCTGATGCACAAGTCGCTAGTGGAGTAACTTAGTTAGAAACGTTCTTTTGTGTTATGTTTTATATATTTCTCTGATTGATATGTAAGCTTTATTTCACATTCGTTCCTAATAATTCAATGTCACGTGTTTAAAATTTATTTACACCCCTCTAGGCAGTATAAAAAGAATTACAAGCATCGATGGTTTTTTTTTTTTTCCGATATTTTTACTCCTTAAAGATATCGCCCGTTATTTATTTTTTTTTTAATTTATTTAATTTACTGCAGGTTTTTACTATATTTATATCAAATGCCTACTAAGTCCTACAAATATAATATAATATAAGTAATGGTTTAGTATTTTTAAATATTTTGCACCTAGTTTGTTTAAATTAACACTTTCACACCTAAATAATAGTTAACGCATAAGAGCACTTGGAAGGGATTAATTGCTGTCGTCAATACGGCGGATACTATTGTTTCTACAAAATTGTATTATCACGATTGTTTTAAAGGGTGAAGTGAGTTTCATTATTTATTTCATCCCAGTAGAAACATTACACACATTACGAATTTCCTGATTACCAAGTTCATAAATTCCTTTCTTGTGAAACAATAATAATAATTGACGGTGTAACTGTAAACATTTGGCGTTTCTTTCGTAGACAATCGTCATTTGTCAAAAATAGTTGGTATGCCTAAATACTTTTTGTCGCAAACCTTCTGCTTTTGCTCTCTTGCTACAATAAATAAACACAAATTCCGCTACCTTTATGACCCTAATGGTTTATTATTTTATTTATTTTCTTTCTTACTTATTCTCTAACTACGTTCTTTTAGATAAGTGCGGATATTTTATAGCACCATCAAGCGATAGCGTTGATTAGACCATTGGGTGGTAGGCCATAGGGATTAGTCAGAAGGCAAAAAGTATGATTTGTCAATTGCAAATTTGCTTTAGAAAAGTATTATTATTAAATGGTCAACAACAGCCAAACAATCAAATTATTTAGTTTTGTTAGTCATTGAGTCAATTTGTCCATTAACTCATAGAAAATTTCCGTCAGGTAAATACAAATGTGTGGCATTGTAAAATCTTGAAAGAGACGAAAGAAAAAAGCGTACTCGTAAAAACTCATTTAACAAGCAAAGATAAAAAGTTAAATAAATCATTTGCCAGATATACATAACTGCAATATTACAGCAACAAAGCAAACAACAACAGCAGAAATAGAAATGAGACAGTAAAAGGAGTAGGAACAAAACGAACAAAATAGTATCGTGACTTCGACTTTATTAATTATGCATTCACATTTGCAAGGGTGTGTGTTTGTGTACGTATAGAATGTTTGCGTTTGTTTGTTTTTTAATTTGTTATCATTCTTTTGTCATGTTTTAAGTGTGGTTCTTAGCGGCACATATTAGCGCGCATAGGTGCTTTTTGTTCATCTTCCGCTCTTCATAAAATGTATATATGCCATATGTATGTACTTATGTGTGATTAATGTGTTTTCTTTTGCTGTCAATTTTTAATTGTGCTATTCATACATATTGTTGAAGGTTGGTAGAAAGCGTGGAGCATAGAATCCTCTTTATGCCTCTGTTAGTTTTAATTATTACTATTTAAATTTTTAACACTTTTAAAGCTCTTGAAAACTAACACACTCGCCTTTAGACCTTGTTAATGATGAAAATATGAGAATTACTCCAAATCGAAGTGATCACATTTCGTTAAACCGATTATGCAACAACACTGCGCTTGGAAATTTTATAAAACTTATCGCTGCATTCAAAAATAAATACTTTTTGCTTAATCATGAGTATACATTTTCATATAAGCTACAAGCTATAAAAACATTTAACACCACACACATGTTAAACCGGTCCTTTATAATTCACATATACATAAACGAGTATATGTACATACGATTCATGTAGATATGCTATGTTGCATTTAAAGCCCTTTTACTTTGTAAAAATTCAGTAGTGGGACCCTTCTGTTGACCAGTAACCGGTAGGTGCATTGAGTTGATGGCTGGCAGTAATGGGTCGAATTTAGTGATATTGTGGTGGCGGTGATGAGTGTTTAATTTCTGCATAAGATGAGTTTATGAAACACACAATTTTATCAAAATGTATCTAAGAAATATTTTAAAGAGATTCTAATAAAAAAGGAATAAATAATAAAAAAAAAAATTTTATCGCAAACACCAACAACACTTAGTTACGTGTATATACATTGGTCAGCCGAACTAGGGAGTAATAACCAATAATACGCTGGTTGGCCTGTCAGATGAGTTGACTTTGAAATTATTCGCATTCTTGTCTTAGTGCCAATGCGGCTAACTACTATTTTGTATATTTAAAATATGCCTTGATGTACATGTGCAGTTAAAACAATTGTTTTCTTTAATTTCGCATGTCTAACTATTTTATTGTTTATTTTTCATTAATTATAAATTAATGTTTCACCGAAGTAAACCCAATATGGCAGTTGGCCGTAAATGAGGCCAAGCTTAACACAGTGCAATATTCATTGGTAAGCAAGTAGTCGGCTTTTTATGTGCGAAGGTGGGCTCCTCCAAGCAGTTGCCATAATTCCCATGCGCAAATAAATACATAATATTTACATTTTTTTTTGTTAAAAAAATCGTGCATTTGTTCACAAGTTAGAAACAAATGATTTTTTTCTACAAAAAAAGTGTTAAAACAATATTTGCCATATTCACAACATTGAAAAAAATCTTTACACAATTGAAATGTTTCTTTATATGTATTTATATGTATGAACATGTAAGAATAAAGACAAATAACTTAAAACTGTGGGACCCTCCATTGGTAGGAAAATGTCAGATCGCGCCCAAATCGGAGAAGCTCAGCCGCAAATTACTTAATTGGTTGTAAAGCATCAAATATAAATATATAAATATATGTATATATGTATATGTCCATATTTTCTTGCCTGATATATAATTACTTGTCTTTAATTTTATTTTTAATTATTCTTTGTCCGCGCTGCACATATATATATGTACACAATATACAATAGTTCAAGCAGACACCGCCGCCGTCTGCCAATAACTTTGAAGCGATTAATAAACAATTGATTTTATTTAAATACTTTCCAACTGGTAATTAAAGCGCATTTCACATGCGAAATGTGTAGACACGTGAAATGTATGTTTGCTTTAAATCAGCAAAAATAAAAGAGAAATTATTTTTTGCTTCTCTTGTCTGCAATATTTTATTCGCACTTAACTGCCGCTGATATGCCTCGAAGCATAAGTGAAAAGTGTGCCACACATTTCTTAAAGAGTCCCAAAACGAGTTTTCACAACGCACATTTTAATGTTTTTGTTTTGATTATTGCACTTCATTTGTAACAATTTTTGGTAATTTAGTGTGGCTTTCTTCGGTCTTTCGGTGATATTGCGAAATGACTGGAAATTCTTGTACTCATTTGCATAAATAATAATTTTGCTCATAATAAGGAATAAAGAAGTTGTTTATTTTATTATATATGTATACATATTCATGGAGGGAAATAAAAGATGTGAAATTTTAATTGCGATGGGGTTTGAAGTGTTATGTGTGCAATAATTTGGCGAGATAAAAATTGAAATGGATTATATAAATATTTTTTCTGAATCATCAATAAAAGGGAAGAAGTTATGGCATTGGTAAAATGAGCAATAATAACTTTGGGTAGAGTTTTCTCATAAATGTCTTTAAGAAATTTACATAGTACATTATTAAAAGATTTTTCGGCCAGAAATAGCTACAGAAGTTTCAAAGCATCATTAAATAGAATTAAATATTACATGTACATATGTATATGTTGTTAAAAGTAAATATTGTAAACAGTTTATATGACAAATTAAAAAAAAATCGATTCAAACAGAAATTTTAGAAGTTTACCCTCAAGATTTCTAGAAATTTTGTTTAATAATCCTGGCTAAAAATATATTTAAAATGGAATCATTGCTGAGTAGTCGTTAAGAACGTACATGATTGTCTTACAAATCAATAAGAAAACAACCATGAGATCCAGAAAATAATTTGAAATAAGAAAAAATATTTTAATCGCCTGTGAATTTTTATTTTTGTCCGAAAAGCTTAAACAATAAATTAAAATACATTGGTAGAACATATAGTCAGACAGTATAGTTATTTATTTGTACAAATGTTATCAACGCCGAAGGCTTAGTGAACTGCGTCAATGGAAGACTGTTTTATATAATATGTGTCTGAATTTTAGTTTAAATTAATTACATAACTTTTTAAAATTATTCTCAAGTATTTTTTAAAATTTGTTTGCGTTTTAAGCTGTTTGACAGTTTTAAAAATTGCTAATGTTTTTTATGTTTAAACGTTTATTAAGAAATGACAAATATTCAGTTATTTATTTTTCTTTCTCATTAGACGCGCACTAATTTGAGTGGGTTAGAAACAAGGTTTTTCGAAATGGCAGATTTAGTTATAATTAAAATTAGCATATTTTATTTAATTTTTTTTTAATTTCACCACCGAAGTTTTTTTAAATACTTTGCTTTATATTTGTAGCAACACAATTTTACATCTATTATTACCTTTCGCCATTTGTACGTAATTGAGTAATAATATGAAATTCTAACTATTTCATAATAATCAATTACTATCATGTAATTTGAGAAGTCTAATTAGTGCACTTTTATAAAAGTTTTCTTTTATATCTAATACTTTGTTATTGCTTTCCAACGATATCTTCACACAGCACCCGTATATTTTGTGGTTTTGATAAATTAGTAATATATTTGAAATATTACTTTTATACTACATTAATTACTACTTTGTTGTTTTTTTTTTGTTTTTGCCTTATTTACACTTTTGTGGTTAACCGTGGCGTATACTTCTTCAATTCACTCGTGGTGGTGTCAATAACACGCGGCGCAACAAAAAGCCACCTTCGTCAATTTACACCGGCTAATAATGAGCGATCAAAGCGTACATACAAACAATTTTATAGCGCCGCTAATCAATGGTTGCTTTCGGTTAAGCGTTTCACAAGTAAATAAGAGTGGTGTCTAGATTTATCGACGTTTATAAGCGTGGCTGGGAGCGCGCCAGAGAAGCAGCCAACAAAAACAAGTAAATATGAGTGCTTTGTGAGCAGCATAACAGAGTACCGCTACCATGACAACAACTATTTACATTCCATGTATCCATAATTATGCGATGGTGCCAATAGCAATAACAGCAAATAACTATCAACAAACAATTCAAAGGCAACACATATAAACAGACACCTTCGCAATCCAGCGTAAGGAAATGCAGGCAATATTGCAAACTTGCTTCTACACAACCGTTTTCTAATCGCTCTCTCTCTCTCGCTGCCAGTACGCCACGTGCTCTTAACTAGTTTGTGTACTGAGAATTCGATACTGGTTGGGCTTAAGCTTAGTTGGTTGATAATGTGTTTTCCCAAGTCTCGCTTTATTTTCTTGTTAAAAGACAGCTGTTCAACTTCATTACCACCGCGCCCTTTTGCTGGCAGACTGCTGGTGTGAACTTGTCTATTCAACAGCCAGCAGCTGTGCAATTAAATCGGGCGGCACGTTTTTTTGGAATTAATTGTAGGTACGAGTATACATATACATCTGTACATACATATTTCCTTAACACTCATTTTTTATTTACTAATTTTGATTGATTTTGTCATTAGAAAAAAAAAATTTACGTTCAATTTAGAAATAAAATTTTTTTTTAGTGTTGGAAAAAAAAATTAACTAGAAGAGTCTGTATAAAAAATGTTTTGGGAATCACATTAAACATGTAAGAGGCAGTCACTTTACAACAGATGTTAGTACTTTGTGTCCACAGCGATTTTTCTCCGATTCTTACGCAGATTCTGGACCAAACTACGAAGGCGCTCATAAGTTTCATATTAATTTAAGCTCCAGAATGTAAGGTTCTCCACCTTACTCAGTTGATTCTATATCATTCTTCATTTATTTCTTAAATCGCCCTTAAATGTTGAACTTTGATAGCAATAATTGTTGTTGTCTGTCCAATTACGGTTAGCTATTTTATTTGCGCATCGCACAGATTGAATAAGTTAAATCATGCGAAAAATGTATTTTACTTTTTTAATTGCGATGACAACAACTACAGCAAAAAGTAAACATAGAAAAATAAAAATAATCGTTAAAGCAAACAGTAGCACAAACATACAAAGTACATACATACGAGTACGTTCGTTACATACATACAAATATATGTGTGTTAGTATGTATATAGAAAGATAAATATCTTCTAGATGGTGTGCATATGTTATTGTTGCTTCTGACTTTGATTTTTTTCTGCTTTTATGGACTGATCAATTGCGCCGGCGTGTTGGAAAATACGCGCATTTTTACAAGTCATTATTAGCTGTAAAAGCCAATTTATAATTTACTAGGTAAACAAAGGTTTAATTTGGAGAGAAATATAAAATTGTTGTTATGTAACATGTAAATTTTGGGATGGTAATCGATGACGAATAAAAAATATAAAGAACAACCTTTATCAACTTTTGTTTTATTTCGTTTGCTCTCTGCTTAATTTAATTTAGTTTAAATTGTTTTATTTTATTTTATTTTATTTTATTTTAGTTTATTTCTATTTTTATAACAAAGTTTAAAAATCAATGAAATTGTATTGTGGATAGCCATGTTTGCTTTACGTCCAAAAACGGAAGAAAATCTTATAAATTCCCCTATTTAATTATATGAAATTCTTACTATTTGTATACATAATATACAATTTATATAAACGAAAAACGGTTTTTCCGAAGTCATCCATTAAACACCTGTTGTTGTTAACGCTTTGGCATACGTCATGATATGTAAGTAATTTATATTAAATTATTTATTTATTTTCATTTAATATTTTCACATTTCTCTGCTGCATTTAAAAGTCTCATTATAGGCGGTGTTTAATCAATTTGTCGGTCACGTTTTGGAAAAGTGGTTTCAATAGGTATATTTATATATATATACTTGTGTATGTTTGTATGTATGTACGAGCACATGTGTGAATCTCTCTATTTCTTGCGTTGAGAATTCCCCTGTTTCCGAAAATGGAGATTGCGCTGGGAATTTTTTTCTACTTATCCAACGTTTTTTTTGAATTCTCTGAGAGGGAAAGTGTTTATCAGTATGCAGGTTTGCATTAGTAAATGCTAATTTACATGTTATGTATATTTGTAATCGTTTATGTGTTAATGTTTGTTAAGATATTAAAATTACACTCAAGTTAAACTAATTATTTTTGCATAACAAAATTCTAAGAATTCAACGGGGGAACGTATGCCTTTGAGGGATCGACTGCTAGATAATATTTAATTGGAAATTGATGAGCTAGTTGAATAAAAACCACAATGAAAATTTAAAAAGTACATTTGCTAATTAAATATAAATAGAATTCGTCGACGTTGGAAGGAATATTAATTAAAAAAGTACCCTTTGTAATATTCTATTGTTTTTAAGTGATAGCCGGCAGAAAAAGACTTGGAGTAAGTAATACAATACGATATATGAAATATAAAATGAATAATTAGATAAAAATATTTTTAAATATATAATAATTAAGTATAATTTAAAATTATAAACTAACCATAGAAATAAAACGTATATAGGAATCGATAAATGTGCGATAATAACGGGTTATCAATATGTCGATAAGAAATGCAATTTCTTATGAAAGCGGTATGACATTTTTCCCTTTTTCAATCTCAGCGATACTTTGTAAATCACCCGTCGTGATAATGGAAACCCCACCGCATTTCAATTGCATATTTTTTATAATGATGAAAACTTATTGCAGTATTTTTGTAAATATGTTTTCATTAAATTTAAATAATAAAGATTTTTAAATGGAATTGAATTGGAAAATATTTCGCAATCAGTTGTGAGAGATGCTGTTTTACATACAAGAATAACAGTTGTAATTCCTTTTAATAGTAATTGTCATAAAAAACAAGATTAAATGATCTGTCTGTAAATTTAATGCACAAAATAATGATAAGATTGACAGCTAAGCAATAGATATAAATTGAGACTAAAAAGCTCCAGAATTATAGTTTAAAATGAGTCATACTCGTCCTCTGTAAATAATATGTACATATGTACAAAAATAATTCAAAATGCTTCAATAATTTAAAAATGCAAAAGCATAAGAATTTTATAAAGCTTTAAGCACGTTATAAAAAGAAGAACAAGTACAAGTTTCATAACAATTTTAAATACTGAATATGTAAAAATGAAATTTTTTACATAGCAGCTAATAACTTTTTGTATGATAAATTTTCAAGTTTTCACTTGTCAAGTGTTCCTTGCACAAGGAGTGGTCAGTCTTCCACTCGAAATAGTTATATATATATATATATATATATATGTGTGTGGGAATAATAATACAATAATCAATACTCCCGTATAACATGTTAACTCTCAAATGAAGATGAAGATTAGTGCTACAACCCCTTCAAAATTACTGTAAACAAAATGTTACTCATACGTACCGCTGCACTCTATCTGCTTAATCCCCGTGACGAGTATCAACAAAGCGCTCAACAGCATATGCAAACATTTAGCCATTATTCAACAAAATTTTAGTACACTTTTCTGTTTCGCTTTTTTCGTTATATATTTTGCTATGCTTATTAAACTTTTCACTCGTTGAACTAATTGCGGCGAATATGTTTCACTTTGATCTGAAATGAAATGTGTATATCATAATTGTAAAAAAAAAAATGAAATAATATGTCTAGATTTATTTGAAAAAATAAAAAAATAAAAAAAATTAAATGGTTCGCCTGAGCGAATCAAATTCAATAGATAGAAGATGTTTAATTGTGAAAAAAGTTTATTTTCTGAACATTTTTTTTAACCGGGACGTTGAGAACCCGTAGAGAAATCTAGCTTTTCTCACTTTTTTTAGGTTAAAATCAAGTTTGAAAAAACCTATTTTTTCAAAGTTCGAGAAACAGCCTTTTAGAAAACTTATTCCCAATTCCGAAACTACCCTGAAATTTTCTGTCCGACAGTTGGTTGTTGTGATAAAAAGTAGAGTTATCCTTTTAGTTATCATATAGAATAATTTAGAGCAGGAAATTAAAAGTGAATAAGTAGGATATTAAGCCAAAATAATAGCTGGACTGTAGAAAAATGTGGATGGAAGTGTAGATAGAGAAAAAGTATGGAAAAAATCGCAAATTTTTCTTATGTGCTCCTTATAACTCCTCGTTAAAAATCACACTAAAAATGTTGAAATTCGTTTAATTAAATTTTGAGAAAATTTTTGAATTTTTCGCTGAAGTTTATTGAAAAAATTTAAAATCAAAGTATAAGGTATTTTATATCTTTTTACATATAAATCATTTTCATAATTTCTTGCAATTCAATTTTGCATAGGATATATACTTATCTCACAAAAATCTCAACGAATTTCAGAAAAACTGGGCACAAAAATTAAATGATTTGATTCAATGGACTTTCGTTCTTTTCATCGCATGCCTGGTTTCTATTTTATTTCGATATTTTTGTCTTACATTCCCCCTTTTCTAGAAATAGTTATACCACATATATATCATTAGCTGTTTAGTGAGTTTATTTTGAATTTTAGTTCCAAGCATATTTTTATTTTTAACTTTAAACATTTTGTCTTGCACTTTTATTAATTCTTTATATAATTTATTACCAGAAATTAAAAGAAAAATTTGCTAGAACTTTGAATGCATTGTCGTCGATTATTTGTGATTTACCTCAACTACTGTATACTTTCACCACTGCTCTTTAAATAAATATGTACTTGTCAAACATCTCCTCTATAATAACTAAGCCGCGCACGAGAGTTATCCCTTTAGAATGGTTCTAATTTCAAAACATTGTATTCCGTTATAGTGACAAAGCGCGCATATGCTTAACTTGGTTGTATATTTAAATTATTTAACAAAAAAATTAATTAATTTATTTTGCTTTCACTTTAGGGAGCAACTCATCATCCGCACGGTTAGAATTATGGAGTTAAACTAATTAAACTTGTGTGCGGTGTTGCCGTCTTTAAGAAGATTGTAGACGATTTGTCAAATAAAATTATATAAATACACATGTGTATATATTTATGTATTTACGAGTATTTTTAATAATTTCAAGTACTGATTGTTTTCATTGCATTTCTTTATGATCGTTGTTGTATTATTTACACCTTCATTATATTGAATTGTATACTAAAAGTCCTATAATAATCGCACACACACACCCGTGAGTATGTGTGTACGTCTGTGTTGGTTGCAAAAAAGTGTAGACATACATATGTATTATCTCTAGCATTGTCCGATTGAAGTAGTACAAGAACGTTTGTACTGTCGCCCGTTGGTTGTTGGCATTATTGTTGTAGTATTTACCTTTGTTTGCTTTCATAAACAGCACTTCACTACTTAATGACGATTATGACGGTATGAACGTACATATGTACATGTATGTAGGTTCACCTAAGTGTGGGGAGTTCTCGTTACTATTTTTGTTGCAACTGTTGTTGTTATCATACTGTTATAGAAGCACAATGTAAATTAAAGAGGCATAATAATTAAGTTGATTTTAATGATAACGAAAAGCAGTTAATTTGAGTTAAGATTGAGCGTAATAAAATTCTTAAAAAAACTTCTTTGCAATATTGGTACAACGAAACGTTTAAGAGTGATTGTGAATCAATTAACTCAATGGCTAAGCATCTGATAATCTCTATCGCTCTCTATTATCAATGAAAATTTTATGGAATATCCAACAGCAGTGGGTTAGATTAGGTCACATTGGTGCACCGAACATAGTCCCGCTGGTCCATTTTATTACGTATAGGACGACAACGCCACTCGCGAAGTTCAAGAGAGCCTTAATATCTAATTTTTTGCCAACTTGTCTATGTAGTTTACATTGTTTTTATGCCTTAATATCTAATTTTTGGCCAACTTGTTCCACAATAAAAGGTCCACATTCAAATAAATTAATTATTTCTTCGTTTAAGAAAGAAAAGAGAAAGTGCCATATATAGAAAATATTAAGAAATAAGTATATTAACATGTTAAAGAACTTAAAGAGCGATGACCTTGAGTATAACAACTTTTTTCTTTATTTTAAACTGTTTATTGTTTCATGCATAGTATAAAGTATTTATCATTTAAAAATTAAAGTCAAATAAAGTTAATTTTCAATGAATTTTTATTTAAATGAAGTGCCCTGGCTTGCTGTTATCGATATAATAAGTCGCAAGTCGATCTCTATCTCTGTCTTCTCGGATTATCAGTGGTCACATACCGGCAAGTTAACCGGAAAGAATACATTGAGTTCGATCAGTGCAGCACAAGTAATGAAGCAAATATACATAACAGCACAAATCCAACCTATTTTGCGATTCAACTTGAAGCGTCCCATTAGCAATGTTAGAAATAGACAAATAACAGATGCGAGTAGAAAACTAACAGAAAATGTAAGGCCATTAGAGTTGAGTGCAACCCATAACTCATCCGGTTGATTGGGAAGGAAGTATGCTTTAATAAACCATGGTACGCTAAGACAGAGAAGGATATCGAATGTATTCGAACCGATGGCATTACTAATGCCCATTGCGCTGAGTCCTTGCTTAGTCACAATGATACTTGAGACTGCTTCAGGTATGCTCATACCGGCGGACAGTATGGTGAGACCCATTACAGAGTCTGGTATATTGAGTGTGTCCCCTGTAAAGAGAAAAGCTTGAATAAGGATTGATTGAAGTCAGCAACTACAAAAAGAAAATAAATTTGGAAAAAAGAATCAGAAAAGATGAGAGTGGAAAACCAAATGAAATCAAAATATAAATATTTAGAAAAGAGAGAAAGCAAAACGTTAATAAAAGGACACATTCTTACTTTCTCATAATTTATTTGTTTTGTTATCCGCAAATTGCAAGGAAGAAGGTAAGCAATATTTTAAGTACACCGTCAGATCTTTCAAATTTGTTACTATGTATGCACAATGCAATTAAACTGACTCTATAAATTTTATGACTGAGTTGATAAAACTGAACACAATTTCTGATTAACTCCGAATATTTAAATTCAGTTGCCAACCGAAAACGGAACGTTAAAAATAAGTTATTTTGAATTGACGAGATTATTAAGAGTTCAATAAAATTATTGGTCTAGATATTGACGTTATAAATTTTAATCACAGATAATAATTTGTAACCTTTAACTCACCTATTATAGTAATCACATAAGCCACTATATAGGAGACCACTGCAATCCATAAAATCGATCCAGTGAATGCGAGGTATTTAGCTTGCGGATGCTTTCGACTATCCGGTAATGTTATATACAGCAAAAATGTGATGGGCCAACGTAAAATGAATACTGGTAAAGATAGATCAACTCGTTGCCATGGTACATCTGCATAGTTTGTTGAACTATCAACTGAATAGCGGAGAGAGCAAGTAGAGAAAGTGAAAGTAGTAGCATGAGCTAAAGTTAGTTGGGGTTTTCATCAAACTCTTAGTTATTAATAGTAATTCTTATCCCACTCACAACTTTCTTCTTCGCAGCTGTGTTCCGAAACTACAGTATGACTGCTGCAGCCATTTTGCGAAGTGTGACATCTCTCAATATCATCAGAATTCGAGTGCAGCGGCGTTGATGAGTTGGATAAATAAAATCGTATAAGATTCGTGCTTGAAACGCAATTGTTGATATTGTTCCCACATGTAGCTAAGGTATAGCTGACAACACTGGCACAAGTATGATAGTGACCAGTAAGTGGCGTTAATTCGCCTATTTCATGGCAGGATCGAACGTAATGTAGTTTGCGGCGATAACGTGAGACGAGACGACGAGCCGTGCGTGCCACCTGATCGTTGTAGTACATCACTGAAAGGGTTATGAAAAAGTACTTAGAAATCTAAACTTTGAAGTTAAGTTGAAGATATTAAGAGAAAAAGCAGAAGATCTTCATGCATGATGAATTTGTAACTATGAGGATTATTTTCACAAATTCTCTTCAATTTCACCAGAGTTTTGATTTAAAGATTTTCATGCAGCACTAACCTGTCATATAAATAAAATAGGCCAAAAAGAGCAACAACGATTCATACCACATCACCATACCATCCCAGATCGTTGCTATCAATGCTAACACGGACATGCAATACATCAAGCAATCTCGGCTCACCGGCCACCAGTCCAGGCGCAGATTGCATTGTTGCCCGAGAAAGAGTCCACAACATGCCGGCACTGCGAGCAAATTAAAAACAGACGAGCCCACTATCGTACCAACTCCAATGTCACCGTTTGTCACAAATGTACCAACGCAATTCATAAAGAGTTCGGGACTTGATGTGGCAATAAAAAAAAGTGTGGCGCCAACAATATCGGCTTGCATATGTAGAGCTGTCAATAAAAAAAGATAGGGAGTTTGCTTATAAATGAGAATGTATAAATTTTAAGGAGATTTCTTGCTCTCACCTCGGCATATCAACTCGATGGCGGGTAGAAAATAATCATCGCAAATTACCGCCAACAGCCAAAAGCAATAGAACGCCAATAGAATATGAATTATTATCCAGCCATGTTGACGCTGTATGCGTGTCAGACCATCAGTCGGAAACTGCAAAATTGCGGGCGCGGTACAATTTACAGTTCTGTTATCTGTTGGTGTGCGGAACGTGAGTTCTGCTCCTTTCTCTACTACGGCTGGCTGGGTCACGTCTGCTAATGATGTCTGCTCAACCGGATGATTGTTGTAATAATGTGCTTTTGTTGTGTGCACAACTTCTTGTGGCTGCTCCAAGCCAACAGTACTTGTGCTCACAAAACTGAGTAACTGTCTATTGGAATGATATTGTTTGGGTGGCACTGTTAGGGTGAAATTCTTTTGTAAACATATTTGTAAGTGCTTGACATAAGTTTAGCCTATAATACTAAATTTAGTTGTAAATTAGTTTAGGAAGGACCTTAAAGTTCTCTGTTAAAAATTTTTATTTACACTTGTGATTGATAGTTTGGAATCTTTCTGGTAACAAGGACGTTTATAATGATATATAAAATATCGGTGGAAGATTTGCAAAGTTAAGTAGGTTTATTGATATTATTAATTAATTTATATAACATGCTGTGTGGATGAATACATAGCAGGTCATAACAACAGAATTTTTGGATCTCTGTAAGCGTCTGAATATATTTCTCAGCAGTTGGAAAATTTTGTTTGAAAGCAAGTCAGATTGGAGCAGCTAAATTTTCTTCAATACAAAAGATTACTATTTTCATCTGCAATTGCATTTCCTGAAAAGAAAGGTCAGATTTGATCTTGCACTCGGCAGATTTCAACAAGAAGAATGCAAAATATGATCTTTATTTACATATATCACAACATAAACGTCAATGATTTACACAGCTTAAGCTTTTAATACTTAGAATTCCTAATCTATAGTTAAAGTTCTCACCGTTCTCTTTTCCTGCACCGCCAGACCACAAATAATTTACGTAAAATAAGAAAATTACGCCAATATAAATAAAAAAACGTAGCTTTAGCCACAATTTCTTTTGATTTAATTTCGTTTGCACGCAATTATTTGTTTTACCGAAAGTTCGACTTTCACATTCTGTTAGTAAATTTTCGTTCATTATTCGTTATAAACAAAAATATGCAGAACTTTTTTACTTCTATGTTTATATAAGTAAAAATTTAACTTTGTTAAAATTCCAAAAAATAAAATATATATATTCTTTGTTTGAAAGCACAACCACTTTTCTTGTTTCCGCTTCACCAGATTTTCTTTTTTGCTTATCTGTGACTTCGTGGCCAGCACGCACGTATAGCCTGCTGCTCCTACGCGATCTAAAATGCATTTCAGGGATAATTGTTGTATTTATAGTAGCGATATATGAATAAGTATGTGTATGTACAAGTTTTTGTCTTGTTTACATCCAAAACTATGCAGTTGATGATAAGCATAGTTATTGGTTGGGCAGTTATTCAGAAACATAACTATTGTATTTATTCACTTATGAGTGAGTGAGTAGAGATTGGTTTGTATGTGCATATAAATTCGTATGCATATATATTTATATACGAGTATTATAGGACCCTCTTATTTGTTTTGTACATAGTCGTAAATGCAAATTTATGCAGCAAATGAATGTGCGTGGAAAGTTTTTAGATTCACACTGCAGCGACACGCGTCAAGTGTATGATGATCTCTCACTAACTAACATAAATTCAGAAGGTGCTAAACTGGTCAACTGTTAGCTTGAACTAAGAGCTTTTATTTGCATAAAAGTCTGTTGAATGTAGAATAAATATTTCGAACATTTAGAACAAAGCAAAGCTTTATTAGTCTTAGGCACACATTTGTAAGTAAGTATCTTGTTATGTTCATAATGCTAGAGTGAGCAACCGTCAAGGCGCGCTGTTTTTTAACTTTAACGGTACTTCAAAACGTAGTCTATTGCTTCGTTGAGTGTATCGTTTCAATTACCTACAACTTCTAATAGATCACTTTAGTGATGCTCTTCAATCTCACGATAGAACTGGCAGGAAACAACTCCCATCGCTAATTTTCTTTCTCTTACGGTGCTTGGGAAATACATACAAAAATTACGATAATTCAATGTATCTACAGTAAAATTAATGTTGGGTGCATATGTTACCTGTTTGGTGCATGCATTTCATTTTGTTCTCTTCGACAAAAAGAATAGGTTAACAGTGGCCCCATTTTTTTGTGCAATTGGAAAGAGTCAGTTGGTTACTTGTTTTAATTTTTTAAATGCCGTTAATATGCGACAATATCTATTTTTAAAATGCCAAGATGGTATTTTTAACCATACTTTTATAAAAAGTGACCAAAACTAACTTGTGATAAAGAATATTAAAGTAATAAAATTAAGAATTTCCTCCCGCTTGGTTTCTGTTATAATCAACATTTCATTATTATGCTAAGATACATATGCATGTACCTTCAGGTATATTTAAGTATATATAAAATTATATATATACTTAAATATGCATAAAGGTACATGCATATATATCTTAACAATGTTTGCTGAATTACTATCTTTGTATGTGCTACAGTTTTATATATGATGGTATTAATTTGTCGAAAATTGTTATCGAAGTAAGTTGACATTTTAAGTACCTATAGCAAACTTAACAACAAAAGCTAGGAAATGACGTCATAATTGCCGCAGTGATTCTCTTTAGATTATTAGTGTGGTATTTTCTAAGTATCAACACAGATTTTAAGCTGTTGTAAAGATTAGTAAATATTAGATTATGATTTATTATCTACGCAAATTGGAGTCCTAACCGTCTAGTTTAAAATAGTTCTGCTCTTATACGTTCGATTGGAATATTTGTCGAAAATTGTTATCGAAGTATGTTGGCATTTTAAGTATTTATAGCGAACTAAACAACAAAAGCTAGGAAATGACGTCATAATTGCCGCAGTGATTCTCTTTAGATTATTAGTGTGGTATTTTCTAAGTATCAACACAGATTTTAAGCTGTTGTAAAGATTAGTAAATATTAGATTATGATTTATTATCTCCAGGACTCCAGTTTGTCCTAACCATCTAGTTTAAACTAGTTCTGCTCTTATACGATCGATTGGATAATGCCAGTGGTTCAGTAAATGAAATTGAATCACAGTCCGAGGGAGTTTTTTTGATGTTAAATAAATCATTTTAATGTTGTCTGGTTCCCGTGAAGGGTCATTACAAAAACTCCTTATACTCTTACATCCCTTACGGTCGCTCCCAACTACACAAGTTGAAATTTAGTCCCACAGTATTCCATTAAATGAGCTTCTTTTTTTATTCATATAAACAAAAAACAAATATTCTTATCTGATTATCTGATGTACACAAAATGGTTTATTCATTTCTTTAATCCATTTAATTTCTTTAAAGCAACGATTTATAACGAAATTTGTATACAATAAAAGCAATATACAATGATGAAATCAAAACATAACGCTGCTGTCAACCATATAAACAATTCCTAGGTATAAACGGATTTTTATATTATTTATTATGCCCTGAGCGCCATTAGCTGCTAGATGGGAAAAAATATTTGTTTTTTTTTTTTTGAAAATTGTTATCGAAGTATGTTGGCATTTTAAGTATTTATAGCGAACTATAAATATTTGTTTTTTTTTTTTGATTTCCGCTTATCGAGGTGTCCCATCAATACATACAACTGACGAAGCCGACAACGGACGTTGGTATGTGCAGATAGTAAGCTGGACGTAGTATATATGTGTGTTTGTAGAATAAAGTAAAATGTTACAATCATTTTAAGAATTAGGAGTCAAGCTTATCCTCCAGGGGTGTGCTTGATGTGCTTAGGAACAAACAGTAATGTATTCCTTTCTAAGAAATTACCGCATTTAGAAATTTTCTTTAAATTCTAGTATGTTATAGGCTCGCCCACACAACTATTCGGGTAGTTTATTGTGGCCATCTCTGATTTATACCTCTCTTAGGTATGCCCCAAAAGGTATCTAAGAAACCTAAGCGCTTGTTTCATCTTCCTCATGTCACAACGGCTTGTCTAGGTAGCTGTAGAAAGGTAGCGAGACCCTACAAATTGTGCTTTATTATGCTTCCCAAGACACTTACTCAATACTGCAGAACACCATGTTACAATATAGAATATAGGATAGTAGCCCAACCCATATGATGGACATTAAAACTGTCATTCCGTAACAAATAACACTTGTAGAAGCCTAGAGATAAACCACAAAACTCCTATGGAATGAATGAAATGCGATACCGATTTCCACACTTTTTTCTTCTTCATATTTAATAAAGAGAGATTAAAAGTGAGATATTCGAATGAAACTTGGCTATTTAAAGTAGTTATCTCCTTACCGATCAAAGCACTTAAATCCACGGACGCCACAGATCCGTTCTCCTTAGATTGTACAAATACGATACTCTGATAACGAAGTATCGAACACCAGCAGTGTTGCATCAGCCATAACAATTGTAATATCGAGTCTTTATTTGGAAGATATGCCAAATATGAGCATCAAAGAAGAAATATTGAAGCACGGTAACAAAAAAAAACCATGGCATTTACTATTTCAACCTCATTATGACCAGGATATGAAAAAAATAATAATTTATATTTAAAACTAAATTAGTTTTTACAGTTGGGGTCTTTTTTTAATCTCGACGAGCTAAATATTTAATAAGAATTTCTCACCCATACTTAATATTTTTTAAAAACGTATTAATTTATATTGCTGAGGAAGTTTGAAGAAAACATTAAATAAATTTCATTTTAAACTTTATTTAAGAGTTAAAATTACAAACCTTAAGAGCTAAATATCTATAGAAACTCCTCTCATTAATATTATTACATTTTTTATATTCATATAAAACCTTTCATATGTATGTATGTATAATGCGTTATTTATCAAACAAAAAAATTGAAATCATGCATCTTTATATGAAATCGAAAAAAAATGAAAACGGAATAAATTGATTTAAGTGGACGAATACTCGGTTAATAAATTTTGGTTCGAATTCAATTAGTTGTTTTTTTTTATTTAATATAGAAGAGAATTTGTGCAATATATTTTTAAAAGTAAAAAATATTTCTTTCGTTACGTTTTTTGAGTTTTTGAATTTTTATCTGTTTTGATGAAAATAAGTATTTGTTTTTTAACTGGAACTTAAAAAAATAATAAAAACTTTATCTTTTATCTTAATTTTAGAAAACTTTGCACTTTTCTATTTTTCAAATATTTATCTACAAGTTAGTTTTCTGGTTTTTATCGTGCATTTAAGATACATAATATGAATTATATACTAATATACTTATTTTTATGTATTACTAAATAGACAGCTTATTTTTACATAATTAAGCATTAGGAGTTTTACTTGTTTTTATGCATTTATAAATTTAAATTTATGCATTGGGTGTACATATTTTATAGTTGAATCAGAAAATCTACTTTTTGTTTAATTAAAGAAAACGATAAACATTACTAAAAAGAGCTGGATTTTATTTACATAATTAAATTATTGAATACACTTTTTGCACAAGCCAAGCAAGAAAACAACCAAACAAAATCAAAATAGAAACAAAAACAGATAATGTAATATATATATATATACTAAAATTTTAAACAACAAGTAGAACTTATGTTTACATATATATATATATAATACCCTTGTACAATTGAAGGAAGAAAAAATTGCGGAAATAACAGAGCTTTGCAGTCAATCCACTCATACGGAGCTCTTACATCTGCAACTCGTTATCGTTTTGATTTCTGAATCTTTAAAACAGTTCCTTCAAGTGTTTTTTCATTTTTATTCGCTTTTGTCAAATTTGTGCGCCACTACTTAAACGCTCCCACGCTGTCTCTCTCGTCATTTTCTCTTTCAGTTCTTATCTCTTCACGAACGTCCGCAAGTTGGCAAATTTACCCTGAAGAATACATTCAACTCTATCAGCGATGCAAATATCATAAACACCAAATACATAACCAAACAAGCCATGCCCACTTTTCGATCTAATTTGAATTTATTAAATGAGAATGTGATATAGAGCAAAAATAGTGTAGAGAGCAACGTTATAGCTGAATACTCGAGTCCAGCTGAATTTATGCCGACATAGTTTTGTCCCTCTTGTATAGGAAAGAAGACAGCTTTTATGAGCCAAGGCACACCCAAACATAAAAGAATGTCGAATGTATTCGAGCCGATTGAGTTACAAATACCCATAGAACCGTGACCTGTAAGAAAAATTGAAAATGTTATTGTTCGTGCAATTGTTGAAGGTATGCTTCTGAGTATGCAGTAATAACTGCATAGCTGTTCCTTAGTGAGACTACCAAAAGTAATATCGTACCTCTCTTAGCTACAATAACACTGGATACTGCTTCCGGCACGCTTGTACCCGCTGCCAGAAATGTAATGCCCATCACTGAATCTGGAATTTTCAGTGTGTCGCCTTGGTAGAACAAGACAAAAGGTATTACATTTATTCAAATCCTCACAATGATTACCTCACTCACCTATTATCGTAATCATCCAAGCGACCACATACGACAACGAACCAATCCACACAATGCACATAATAAAAGTCAATGGAAATATCTTATTATTCTTCGTCTTCTTACAATCCGGTATCGCTATGCGAAATAGTAAATGTATGGGCCAAATAATGATCCACGTGAATTGTGCAAAGCAGCTCTTGTCCTTTGGATAATGCAGCAATTGATAGTGCTCCTCCACCTCGTCGTCACTTGCAGAAGATGCTGCAGTGGACACGACCGCAGGGATAGCGCCAGTTGATGCAGTTGGCTGCAGCTCCACACTGCTCTTCTCTATAGCTATTGTAGTAGTTAAAAATTTTGCTTCAGGCGGTGGCTGTAAAGCCACTGCTGTTGTTGTAATCGTTGCTGCATTTGAATTGGAATTCGTATTGGAATTTGCAGCAGTGGAAGGTGGTGATGCCGTAGGCTGCAGTTTAGGCGGTTCGTTGTTAACACCGCCATTTAATTGTATTGTAGAGAGCTTGTGGCAAATACGATTCTCAACAAGATCTGGAAGATGGTATGATGAAAAGCATGTGTGTTAGGACGATTTAGAGAATACTGTAGCAGCTATTTTTGATGAATCTAAACATTCAGTTTTACAATTGGTTTTTAAAGAAAAGTTTCATGCTCAAATTGAAATACCGACGTGGGACATAATGAGTCATTAATGGTGTGGAGAGATTTTCAGACAAACTTTTTTTTATTCCGTCAATCCAATAGACGTCAAAACCAATAGACTTAAACATTTTTTTCTTGTGTATGCTGGAAATGTGCGAAATATTTGGATAGTATGTTGTATGTTAGTGTATTTTTGTACATATGTGTTAGAATATCATATACAATGTATGCTTATGGTATATAGGTATGTATGTATGTATGTATGCAATTTCCATCAACCTGGTTCCTTTTCAATGCTATTCTTCGTCTGTATGCTGCAATTGGACGAGCGACTGCGAGAACGCGCCTGTTTCACGCCTCCTGTTCATGTGTTTGGTTGTATACGAAAGTTTAAAAATGTGTAAATATCAATCTGGCTTACAATAATTGTAAAGTATTCAATGTATCAATATGTATTGAATGAATATGTAAGTGTACATATACATATATGAACACATCTATTTATTTTCAATAAGTTTTTAATTTAAAATTAAGGAAACATTTTTACCTTTTGCGCACTTCTGAAATGATTTATCAAAATACATGACTGCTAAATAAACAGCATAGAGTGAAACTAATATCAGCGCTTCATACCACTCGACACGTTCGTCGTGCATGACACAAATCAATATGGCTACAGTGACGCCATAAGCTATGCTGTCGCGCGTAAGCGGCCACCAATCGAGTGGGATGGTCTAATGAGTTTATGAAGAAAAGAGAAAATTTGCTTACATTTAAATTTTTTATTTTTAAAATTTGAAAACTCTAATTTCTATTACTCACCATACCCGCACCAATCCCACAGCACGCTGCAACCGCTAAAATATTAAATACCGCCGACCCAACAATTGTGCCCACCCCGATATCGCCCTCTGTGATGAAAGTTCCAATCACATTGACGAAGAGTTCGGGCGCTGATGTGGCCGCTGCCATGAAAGTAGCGCCAGCTACATCTTTTTTTTTATTTAATGCTTCGAAACAGAAAATTAGCAACAAAAATTATTATTTTTTTTTCAAATTGGCACAATTATAGTTTTTGCTGACCCACCTGCGCATATCTTTTCGACAGCAGGCACAAAATACTCATCACATACTACTGCTAATGCTAGAAATAAATATAAACTCGCTATCACATGAAGCACCACAGCACCTGACTGTCTTTGAGCCTCGGTGAATAGATCCTTGGGAAAATCATCGATGGCAGGTTGTGTGCAATTTATATCTGAATGATGGAGATAATGGAAACAAAATTGTATTCAACTTTTTAAATTATATTTATTTATAGTTAATTAGAAACGATCCTATAGTTAGGCTTCTTTTCATTTTATGTATACCTACATATATAGGAATTATAATATCAAGAATTATATTGGCGCTTTGAAAACCGCTGAAGCGAATTTCGGTCGAGCTCCTCTTCAAGTTGTGGTATGCTTCTTGATGTTTTTTCAACAAATGGAGGAGCCTTCAGTTTATTAAACCGCCTTCTTAAGCCGCCTCCACTCACATTACCCTACCGAAAGTGGCAAAGTAGAAAAAATTATGTATCCCGAAACTTGCGCATTCCCAAAGAAGAAATTTTTTTTGCGAAAGATCCCTTTTAAATTTCGTTAAACAGCAGTAGGGTGAAGTCAAGTATATAATCATTCTAGTAGGTCTATCCAATCTACTTTGAATTGGGAATTTAGGAGCATAATCTGATAATTTGGTCAAACGTTTTCTATTTGTCTTGATATTGGGATCCTTTCATTGTGTAAAACTCTTTTAATTAATGCTAGGATTAAAAAACATTTAAGATTTTTCACAGTCTCGTTTATTAAGGCATCTATGTTGATATGCGTTTCTAGTTACATATAATTTGTAAAATTTCGCACCTAATAAAATATTAATGTGCGAATGTTAAAACTAGGCGTTGATAAATGTAGAGTAATAAAATGAAAATGAAGCAGTGACACATGTACATACATATATATATAGTAAGTGTTTTAATTTTGATCATATTTGTCTAAAAATGTAAAATAAAACACACACATACCCTCACAAACAATGTAATTAACTTATTCAGTGATTTCTCGCGCGACCTTTTAGCTAATCCACGCAAGCAAGAAGCGGCAAACGATCAACACAATTAAAACGATGAGCCACCACTCATCGTCGACATGTGGAAAGAATTAGGAAAAATGCGAATGAAATTGAAAATTGACTAAAACCACTAACAAATAAAAAAAAATCGACGAACAGAGATATAAAACCACAATTAAGAAATACCTAATGACGACATAAACAATTAACAATGGAGGAAATGCTATTTGTTGCTCTTTAAAAGCTCACTCACGGACCAAATGTTTGTGCAAACCCCTTCCATATACGAATGTACATATTTACCATTAGCTTAAATATTGTAACACTGTTATAAAGATAAGAGTTTAGCACGTAATTAGAATTATTTTAATTGTATTTGGAAATAATTAAAAGTAGTTATTAACATTTTGGAAAGAGTTTCCAATGACAAGACAAATGTTTGAAGCACGAATAAAGAAAAATCATCAAACAATAACCAATTGTGAGTAAATCTGTCAAATCCACTAAGCGATTAATTAATTCTACCGCATCTCGTCTAGAAAAACGCTGTCGATAAATACCTCTAAGGAATTATGGGTATTATTTTAAAATTCGCTTAAGTTTTGGATATACATTTGCCTGCAATTGGCAAGAACTCACACAAATTTAAGAAGGTAGTGGGGTAGTGGCAAATTGCAGTCATTAGTAGAATCGGCGGCGGCGGCGGCGGCTGCAAAGTGACAAAGCGTTTTCGTTTATTCGCTAATTTTAGGCGGTAACACTCGTAGCGGCTTTTTTTTTTGGAGTGAAAAATTACTCGCTAATTTACATATGAGTGATTTCTTTTTTTTTTACAATTTGGTACGCCCTGTGCTGGCATAAAAAATTAAAGCATCTGCAAGGGGCTCAAACGTTTACTAAAAACAAAACGTTCCGCTAAATTGCTAAATTAGTAGCGAAATTTCACTAGCGAACGGACAAAACATTTGTTGAAGCTCTTACAAGCTCGAATACATATACATTTGTATGTACATACAAATTAATAGAAAAGCAATTATAGCATATGAGTTTGTACCCACACTCAGTAGGCAAGTACTTGTGTTTATTGTTTTGTTTGGGTTTTCGACATTGTTGTTCATTTATTTTATGTTTCCTCAATGTAATTAATTCAGTTTTCGTATTTTCAATCGCATCTGGCGCTTGCTTCATGCCTTTACTTCTGTTTGGAATTTTCAATTGTGTAAAATTGGTTATTTTGTCTTTATTTCCCTAATATATGTATGTACATCAGAAATAAATAGAAATTGTTTCTGACTTTCGTCAAATTTGAGTTCTCTGATTGATGGATTTCCGTATTTATGAAGTTTATGTGAGATTTTGTGATATTCACTTGTCATATCTAGTATAATCATTTTTGATTTTTTTTTTTTTTTTTTTGTATGAGGATTTTTATTTTTTAATTTCTGTATTTTTTTTTTTTTTTTTTTTGGTTGGTCAAGTTGGTGTTATCATTTTTTCATCATCTTGTGATTATCTAATTAGATGTGTATGGACATAACACGAATTGGTATATATGCACATATGCATATATGAATATCATGTGAATTATACCACTAATAAACGAATTTAAATTGTTATTAAATATTGCCCGAAACAAAATTGTCTTCAATTAAATAATTGTACATTTTGATTTTGACTAAATCTGACGTTAACATTTGATTTGACTTTACCACTTATTCGTTCAATTAATTAACTTACTTTAAAGTTGAAAAATTTTAAAATAAAGCAAATTTTCAAACTTTGCGCCTAGTTAAAAAGCAAAAAATGGTGCTGGACTTCCTAAAGTGCGAGGCTTCGGAACAATTAAATTCATGTTAATTAAACTAGCTTGTGCCTCGAAATATTTGAAAACTTTCTATTCAACTCGAAACCTAATATGTACATAGGAATATATATATATATAGATATATATATATAATATATATAATTGGGGCATTATGTCCCCCAACTTGTGGTTTTGCTTCTAGATGTTCTTTCCAACAAATGGAGGGACCTACAGTTTACACTAAGCCGCCTCCGAACGGCTGATGGTTTTTTTACGTGGAGCCTTTATTTCATATTAGAAATATACTCAGAGGGATGCGCGCAATTAAAAATTCAGCTTAATTTTTTTTATTTAAATTAATTTTCTATAACTTTTTGGATGTTAGTACGATACCAGGATTTAAACCCTTAGCTTACCGCCAGTATATATGTTTGGGGATATTAAATTAACTCATTGACGCAACTCATTCATCACGTTTCTTGAAAGATGTTTAGGCAAGCTCTTCTTCTTCAACTCTAGATCATGTTTGAAAGAAAATGTTATCAATGCCTTGAACAGTATGTCCGTCAGTATTTTTGTGTGAGTGTTTTCCAAAAGCATGTTCTCACCTAGGGATTTTTCTGATCTTTAACATTGTACCATACGACTTTCCACGTGGTAATATGCAGTGCTAACACTGCGAAATACTAAGAGAAATATTTGAAGCAAGCCTATAGATTATAGAGCATTTAGTGCAATTTATCTTGGTGTCCAGATTCCTGCAGAGTTGGCATTACCGAGTGTCTACTGTGCATGGTTTATGGATCTCTGCTAACTAAATATGTAGCTATGTAATGTGTATGAAAATAGACATAAAAAAAACGATATCAATCACGCTAAATTAAGTTCACTTTAATTTAATCAGTTGCTTGAGAATGCATACATACATATGTTGATCTTTCTATTATATCTGTATGATAGCATATACTTTCATCTGACTTAAGACGCTTAAACTCTCATGTACACACATTGTCCGTTACGTACACAAGTAGATGAGTTTCATGCAAAGTTTAAGTTAATCAATAGCCGTACAATGTGAGGGCAGCAACACTTTATTATCCGACATAAACGTAAGGCCAATTATATACCTTACTTTCTTTATTCTTTTAGCCCCCCCCCCATTTTTCTAATATAATATATACATATATATATATAATTGGCGCTTTGTAACCACTGAAACGATTTTCGGCCAAGCTCCTCGTTCAATTTGTGATATTTTCGTCTTGATGTTTTTCCAACAGTCACCTAATGCGGCCGCCAAGTCTAGGAATTTTCAAATTGGAAATTTATATGTTGAAAATTGGAAAATTATTTTTGGCGTTAGAGGTCTCTATACATAGTAATACAGATATATGGTAATCTCTAACCGGTTGAGCGAGTTTCGACTGTTCTTTGCCACCGCTCTGTGCTTCTTGGATGATGGATAAAGGGGCTTCCGAATAACTTTTTGTGAGATGCTATAATAAAATGAACAATGTCCTTTTGTGTGTTCAAGAGTATGCTGAAAGTAGCACGACTTAAGATAACTTATTTGGTATCCGCTAAATACCAAATCAGCTTACAAGACTCAGTTTTGCTCTCACCAAATTACAATTCTTTCTCCTGCCTTCTTCTTTTATTATTCATAAACTAGTGTCTCATATATCCACCGCTAGGCATTTGAATTTCTCACGTGGCCCCTAAGATGCCATTGCATCCCTCTGATCTTTGTTCGACATTTCTTCGGAATATAAGTGTAATTTAAAAAAAACATGCTCATTTATTTACTTCTGTTTCTGTGAGTATGAGTAAGTAAAAAAAAGTATTTCATTTGTTCGTTTTAACTATAGTCAGTAAATATTTGTATGCACATATACTCGTAAACATTTTACGTACATATGTACGAATACATAGATATCTTTCAAACTAGCATCATTTGGCACCGCTTTAATTTTATTTCTAAATTGTTCGCCTTTTGTGTGACAATTTACGTTGATTTAGTCGTTGAGACGTTTATACAAGACTCCTTGAAAATAGAAAGCCCGAAAAATGAGATGATAAAAGTTTTTAAACAAAAATATTTTCGAAATTTATAAATGTGCATAAATACATATGTAGGCTTGACAAAATTCCACCTTTTTATTAATACTACTTAAATATTTGTTAAAATAAATTCAGAGCTGGAGTCAACCAATCTGAACCTTATCATAAATATATACTTATGTATAATTGGATATTTGTAACCCTCTGAAGTGATTTTCAGATGCGGTGAGCATCTTGTCGAGGGGCGACCACAATTAGAAAAATTAATTTTCCAAAATTTTTGGATGTTGGTTGAACCAGCACTCGAACCCTGACGCTTGTCAAAAGGATAAAGTAAAACTTTCGGACTTTTACTATGATTTTCCAACTTTCATTTGCAAATAAAAAAAGCTGCCTTTACCGGTATAGTCATTTTACAATATATTTGGCTCGGTTACGTTACACAAAAGAAGTATCAGGCTCAGGTTAGATTCAGAGAGAAGTGTTATTGCCATTACATTACAGTTGTTAATTTAATCAATAATATCCCATATGATTTTTATTTTAACTATGTGCTTTTTTAGAAAAGGAAAACTCGCTTTTTCGCTACTTGAACTTTCAATATCTAAAAATCATTCATGAATAAATACCATTCTGACTTCTGATTTGTTAAATTTTTCGCTATTTGCATTTCCAAAATAAATTAATATTTGATTGATTAATCTATATCATACGTTTTTTTGGCGGATAATATCTTATTTTCAAATAATATTTTAGTATTTATTTGTGAGGTGTGTACTTGTGCGTAATTGTTTTTGTTCTCGAGCTAATTTCTATTTTTTAATTTTTCCTCTTTTCATTCGCAAACTTTTCCAGTTACGCTCCACTGCATTGCCGATTTTTTACTCATTGTAGCTTACACCGACAAGAGCTATTGTTCCCTCGTTTTATGTATATTTGGTTACGCATACGCCATGTATTCCCTATACAGCGATTTGTTATTTCATCGTCTGATGCAAGCGAGACAAAAATGTTTATTAGTTCATTTCGAATACCATTTCCTATTTACAGGTGAAGAATGTTTTTTGTTTTTAGCTTTTTATTGATAAGTGTGTGTGCGTTGGTTGTACTTTTTATTTATTTATTCATAAATCTGTTTTTATATACTTTTTTATTTTTGTTTAGTTTTTACTTAATTGTGAAATAACTATTTCGACCTTTGGATCGACTGCTTTTCAAAAATATATTTATGTTTATTATAACTTGTATATCCTTTTATTTCTGTTCCAGCAATTAGAAGGAAGCTCACAATATATAATTTGAAACGATATAGGAAGTTTTTGATTATAAACAAAAATACAGCTTCATTCGTATTCCAACGATGGTTTCAATGGCCTAAGGAATGAATAAGTATAAAGGTAATATGTAGCTTATACTCGGGGATAGTAAGAACTATTTATTATTTCATTCGCCACATATTTATTAATGTATGAATAAAATTAAAATCAAATTCTTCCGATTACCAATCAACAAAAAATTAGCAGTCATCGAGAAAGGCCTCAAACGCGAATGAAAATATTTTTTCTTAAGTACCATTTGTGCTGCTAAGACCCCAATAGTCTTCCATGTTGCTCCTTCACTATTGTTGTTGTAAGCCGTTTCACTTATTTTCTGCGGCAAGATCTCGAACTCAGATGGGTGCACGTGTACTCAATAACTTAATTTGTCACCTTCAACTCAAAACACATAAATTTTAAAAATCTCTTTTTTCCAAACACAAATTCAACTCATAAGCGATTTGGCATAAAATTTCGTCTCAACAGAACACAAAGGAAATCACCAGTGAAATTAAAAAACGAAAATTTCTACAATAGTTTCTTTATTTATTGCCATAACTTATGTTTTTCCTTGTTTCTTATTTTTAGAATTGTCTGACCGGTTGGCCGGTGGAATCAAATTTTATTTTCGATGCACACTCGCGTACTATTCGAGAAATAATCCAGCCACCGCAAACGAAATGCTCGCACTGTCCAAAAACGTTCACCAATTCACTCGCTGTACCAAACGACTAACGCGTCTTAGTCGCTATCGTCGTCAACGTTTGCCGCGTCCACCGTTATCTCAGGGATGGAGCGAACGCCATTCGCTACTTAAAAAGCGACCGGATACGGTTTAAGCTCGTATAACAGCTTTCGGCAAATCTTCTGAGATGACTATGAAGCTGTTTTAAGCAAGCGCGCAAAGCGACAACACAGCAGGTATGCATGTATTTATGTACATATGTATGTATGTACATATGTCGAGCATATAATACGAACAGCATGCAGTGCAGTTTAATGCCGTCAATGATAATCATTTGCGCCTTTCCGTCTTCGTTTATACCGCACACATTGTCGACTTTTTTGCTCGTCGGCGTTTTCGCAGTCTACGTTATGCTCGTCGAAGTACTTTATACTCGTTACCGTTACTTAAGCCACAATAGCTTTACCGCCTTCGTTGCCGAATATCAATTATTCGATTTTCAACAACCTATTGTTTATTTGTTTTTGTAATCATTTATTTTTTATTCGTTTCGGTTAGTCAAAAGAATTGTACATCTGTATGTATGTCTATAATTATATACATGCACACATATGTATGTATATGTAAACGTATGCACATAAATAGGTAATTTAAAAAATCCGCGCTCTAAAGCAACGCTGCCATTGCCAGTGTCGTCAAATATCAAACTAAACGATGGGTCAACGTGATGCACCGAGTCCAAGTGACGACTTTTGCATGTACTAAGCTAGTAAGCGACGCAAGCGTAATCCATGACAATTGACGATGATGGTAACAATTGTCGTTAGCTAATGTACATATGTTATATATACATATGTATGTACATATACATTTATGCAAATATATATACATTTATGTATATATGTAAATGTATGTACATAGATACATACATATGAAGTTAATGCGGTGCGCGGCAAGTCGCACGAAAAGCGTGGCAAACGGAAAGCGCTACTTTTCGACGCGTTGATGCTTTGAATGTATGCGTGGATATGTATTTGCATTCATTTATATATGTGAAGCTGCCACTAGCGATTGCTCAATGAGTGAGACTGCCTTCTTTAACTCCAGCTGACGCACAAGCAACATACTAATTTGGATCGCGGCAAAGATCATATGCATGCACACCCACTTGCCAAGCAGGGTTATACATAGCTGGAGAGTTTTGAGCTATCTCTCCTCTCTTTTAACCTGAATGCACTATGTACACTGGGTATATCACCTTTGCACTGGAGCTCCTTACCTAATTAGAGATATGCGCCTTGTTGTTTTTCCAACAAAGGAAGGATGCCTCCGAATGACTGAGGGGTTTTTGTTTCAAGTCAGAAACAAATACTCGGAAGGGTTGTTATTCCCTGTCATTCACCAAACAATGTCTTCATGAAATTTTCCATTTTGATTGATGCACTTAACGAGCTGCTCGAGAATGAGAATGCGGAAAATGAAAGCCGACTCGAAAAGATTATGCTAAGAAAAATCTGTTTCATTTCGGTTGAGCAAATGTTCACGGCGGATTTAGCCCCTGGAAAAAAGCTTTAAATTTACGCAGAATTGTAGTGCAATGTGTTTTAAAAGATTTTGTTGTATTTATTAGATACTGACCCCTCTTTCGAAGAAAGGATCGTGGTACTTGGGCTTTAGCATTTCAACTAAATTTCATGGAAAATATATGTAGATGTATGTATGTATGTGTGCATCTTCTGTGACCAGTGATTTTAATATTGGCTTTTCTTTCTCAGCCACCTTTGTTGTTATTAAGTGACAATAAAAATTAAGGAGAATGTTGATGATTACGGAAAATCTATCCACCCACTTGACTGCTGGGGCCGCCGACAACAACGAATTTCGTTTTCGCTCTGAGTAAAAGCGTATAACTCATTCACATTTGATGCATTTATTTTATCTAGTTTTTTTGTATTACTATTTTCATATAAAATGAATTCTTGAACTACAATATGGCTGACTAAACCAATTCATCAATAACAAAATAATTGGGGAAAATCATGAATTTATTTTATTTTACTTGCAACAAAGATTAGAACACTTTGAAGTCGGAAACAAAATAATAAAACATTTAAAAATGTCAAGAGAAATTTCGCTTGAAATGGAGGAGAGAATTACTCGTCTTTATTTGATTGCCATTAAGATCTTCAACTGGATTCAAAAAAAAACGACAAATTCAAGTAAGGAACCATCATATTATATGAAGATCATAAAAAAAAGAAGTTCTCATTTGAGCATGCTTCCAAAGCAAAGGATTGCAATGTGACTCTTATTCTCTGTTTCCTGTATATACATACTATATAAAATAATAAAATGGGTGAATTATGTATATGTAAATTTTATGGTATGGTTTTAGGATATTCCATTAGTTTTCAAAATAAGAGTTCCAGATATGCTCAGATTGTGCGTATATACTATGCAATTTTTATACCCATACATGCACATTAATAAATAACTTGCACCACAAGTCGTTGGCTGAATCTTACTATTGTGATTAATTCAAAAAGCCGTCGTCGGTGCTATAGCACCCGCTTATTTAGGAAGACGAGTGTATAGGAATTTATATGCAGCATATGAATAAATTACTTTGATTGGGTGCGACATCACCCTCTAAATTAATACAATAGTACACTGCGAAGTTTCTACATACACAAGTGTGAATCAAGTGTTGTATGGTGCTATGCCGACATGTTTATGCACATGTACATGTGTGTATATAAATGACATTTTAACTCTCAGCATTTCATCTCATATATTATAATCGCTAACAAGTATTCTAAAAAATTCAATTCTCCTTATATGATAGTAAATATGTACCTATATTGTATTTAGCTCTAAGATTTACCTATTTATGTGTTATTTTTAATTTAATTTTAGTTTTTGAGATTTCTAATTTTAGTATTGCAATAGAGGCAGATGTGGTTCCATTAAACCAAGAAACTCATCGTAAAATGCCACAAACAGCAGATGAAACAATGTTATTTACATAAAAATATACATAACACTCTGAAGAAAGTAAACAGAAAATGTTCTTCGTGAAAAACTTAAAGCAAGTTAAGTCATGAACTGTCAGCTGACAGAGCTCGAAGCTGACTCAGTATTTCTTTTAGCCTCATCACAGACACAAACTCACACATCCTCTGCTGCTTAATACTTGCTTCTACGACAAACATATTTGTTACTTAATCAAGATACAATTGCAGTATTATATTGTACAAATAAATGTGTTGGGCATGTACAAACGTAAAACATATATTTAAGTACATACATACGTACATACATATGTAGATATGTACGAGGATATCTTTATATCTTAAGGTATGTATATTTCATACTAGTTCTTTTTCCTTTCAATGCGAATAAATTATATTGTCGGCGCGGATATGTTGCAATATCAATAAAAAAAATATTAAATAAACTGAGCGAAGGCTTTATAACAACAACACAACGTTTGTGCGTGACCCGTACTGGTAGAATCCGCCAATGATATTAAGTATAACGGAACATAAGCCATATAATTGAATTTTATCGTAAGAACTACAGTGTGTATTGCCATTAGTAAGTCTACATTTATTGCTTTTTTTCACTCAGCTTTTTTTTACGTTTTAGCTTTCAAATAGCAACGCAAGCTTTTAATTTCATTATTTTTTTAGTTTCCATTAAAAGCTGAAATTCTATATGTAATCCTATTAGCCTTTAATTTGTTTCTAAATTTCGATTTTATTTTCGTTTAACTTAATACCAAGTACTTTTACATTTGTTAAAAATCTATATAAGTATAGAAATTGCAAAGATAACTCATAATATATGATACCAACAAGATATCGGTTTCTTTTCATGCATGCTTTTAATTTAAAAAAAAGCTTTCTATCAGTTAGTTCATATTTTTGAAACAAAATCTCCCACAAAAAAAGCTTATACAATAAAGATATCAAAGAAAAATTTAAGTATAAATTAGTAAATTTTCTTTAAATTTCATTTTTCTCAAATAGCTCTTAATCATGCTTTCGATTAAAACAATGTAAATGTAGTTTGAATAAACCATATCTAAAGCTCTTAAACGTAAAAATAATAAATTTTATACTAGTAATAAAAACAATATTTATGGTTTACTATTGCCGCCGCATGCGTCAGTTTATATATTTTGTTTTTACCTAGCTGGCGCTTGAAATTGTTACAATTCATCGCAGCGCTTAACTTTACCTACTCCACACTTCCATCCAGTTCAGTTTGGCATTTTAATGCCTTGCTGGAACTCTAATGTTTGCTGTTGTTTCTTCACTTCATCCTGCATATCTAATGCCATTTTCTTATATTTCTCTGCTTCTTTTTCATTTTTATCAATACCATCACCACGCGCATACATTTGACTTAGATTCGCGCATGCGTACATGTTTCGCAATTCACATGCTTTATATGCAAATTCAAAGGCTTTTTTCATATCTTTCTGTAATATAAAATCGGTGTCTTTTGGTATTACTTTTTTGGTATCCGCTGGGTTTGATTGTGTTGTTGTTTCCGGTTTCTTTTGTACGCCGGATATATGCATACCGGAGAGGTAGAAACAGGCGGTGGCATTATTCATGTCGCAACTCTTCGATAGGTATTCAATGCCCTAAAACAAAGAAATAAAATGGTTTTGTAATCAGTATATTTACATTTATATTATAAATAAAACAATTTTTAATACCTTTGGTACATTTCGGTCAATTTCTTTGTGCATGGCGCGTGATACCAGTAGTAATCCTGAATGTAAACAAGCATCAGCATCGTTAAGTTGACAACCTTTCTCGTAGTATGTGTAAGCACTACGTGGATCACCTTTACTGCCACTTTTACCTTTACCCAAGAAACTGTAATTACCAAATTTGAAACAGGACTTGGCGTAACCGTAATCGTCACATGTGGATTTATATACTTTAGCCGCCTTTTCGAAATCTTTTTTGACTCCCTCCAAATAATCGCCCAAAAGATGACAGACTAGAAAATATATTTAGCATATTAGGCGATTTCTTACTAATAATGGGAGATTAATTTTTCAAAGCATCAAAAACTATTCTGCAAACGCTTGCGAAACAGGCATTACAGCAGCATAATGGGAGGTTAGAAACCCTCCTTCCGGCTAATATTGTGTCGGTCAGATCAGTGATTGCATATGCAGTTGTTGTTGTTATTTGTTCTTGTTCAGCTATTTACCCTCTGGTTTCTTTTCCGAATAGCAACCGAAACGGTATTCGATGCCCAATTTCTCTATGTACTCCTTAACGTCTGATTCCTTCTTAAGATCATATGCCATTATTTATTTTATTCTTTCTACAAGTATTTAACACTTTTAATTTCACAAATTATAAAGGCTGGAAACTGTCGTAATAAAATAAGAGATTAGCTGAAATCTGATGAACTGTCAAAATCACTTGCCGTGTGTGGTGCTGCCAACGGTTAAAATACTTCAACGGTAATTAAAAAAAATTCAATTTTCAAAAGTAATTCATTATAAACACATTTATTATTAATTTTTATAAGATTTTCTTTCATTTTTTTAGCTATTTGTAATGTTATACTGCATTGAAATATAGTCCTGGAGACGTAAATTGATTTCACACGTAGATGTCGCTGTAATTTTATGCAAACTGTCAGTCAATGTGTGTAAAAATTCTGGCAGCGTTCAAACTGTTAAAAACAAAGCAACGTGTAGCAACAGTGTTAGTTCCGGCTGTTTTGCTCAAATAGAACTCAGTTTTAAAGTGAAAAAGATCGATATCCATCCCTTCGGATAAATTTAAATAATTTGAAAACAAGAATCAGTTTCGTTCCAAAAAATAGGATCGAATTTAAAATTCCGTGCAGCATGGAAAATTTCGTTGCAAAACCCGCGTCATTATATAAAATTAAATTATCTCCAAACTTCTCACAGAAATCAAATGGCCCTTCGGAGGTGGCTTAGAATAAATTGTAGATTTGCTGGCATAAATAGACTATATTAATATAGGTTCTTTGTAACAGCAGCGGTCGCGCGTATTTTTTTTTTTTATTAGGGAAATAAAACACTAATTCACTAATATTCATTTATTTTTTTTTTTTGTATTTAGATATTGTGTATTTACTTTCTCTGCTGAACCTAGCTCTGCAATTTAAATTTATATACATAATTGCAAAAATACAAATTACAGTCGTGACTTTATTTCTCTTGAAATTGCTGTCAAAGGCTTTGACTATTATCAGAGAATATTTTTGGTAAATTGGTGTAAAACTAGCTAATTTCCACAAATTAAAATTAAGTTAATATGAAATTAGTGAACGTACGCGTGACTGCTCGAGAAATTAAGTTTCCATATTTCTTATGTTGACATGCAATTCGAAATAATTTATTACTACGTCTGAAGGAGTCTTCAATCTTTTGACATTAATATAAGTTTCTTGATATTAAATACTTCAGTTCATTTAGTCACGGAAAATTGAAATACAAAAGCATAATATGAAAAAAGTGGGAGCATTAATTAATCTCAAAATACGCATATATGTAAATACCATTTAATAATTTTTTCAACATTTTTCAGGGAAGTCAAGTCCTCGTTTATTAAATTTTTTAGTTTTTATTTCATTAAATAGTAATGCTTTCAACTCGTAATAGTATGTATGTATATTATTTTCTAGACATAATGCGAATTATAAGACTAAATAAGTATAAACTTTCATTATAAATTTAAATACATTTTAATATGTTCTTAAACAGTAGTTATTGTACGATTAAAACACCTTTGAAATGCTTTCCATTTTCTTTTTGGGACAAAAAAAATTTAAAAAACTGCAAACTCAAGCTTTGAGAAGGTGGGAAGGAGGAGTATATTAAAAACTTTCTGCCTTATGTGAAAGTCTTTATAGCAACATCTTGGTGAGTGCTTTTGTTCTCATTTTCGGTCCTTTGGGCGCTTTGCGACTAAATATATCAAAAATTAACGAAATGATCCGGCGCTGGCACCTTATTGATATTTTTCTTAGAAAAGACGGATATGTGAAGTGGTTTTACAAAAACATTTAATGCCAAACTTTAGAAATTTTCTATATAAAAACACAACATAGATTTTCATATATTTTTTTTCTTTATTGTATGTAGCTTTCACTTATCCTCGAATACAATTATTATTTTTATTCCTTCGAATTTTAACACCTCAAAAAGTAGTAATGCCGTTTCACAAGATACTTGTGTGTTATACTTGTTCTTTTATAGTCATATATATGTATGTATATATAGAATATATTCTTAATGCGTCACTTTCTATGCAGATGAAGTTTGGGGAATTGTTACTACGATAAACTTATTTATTTAAAACAAATTATTTGCTTTAAAGTAATTTAATATCATACTTTTTTGTGTTTGTAGATGAGCAATTTTGGCCGAAAACAACGCTTTTGAAGAGTATTTAAGTGGAAATTATTTTCTTAAAGGCATTGCTAACTGTTGTTAATGCTGATGGTAGCTGCTCGTTTTATTTTTATTGTATGCCTTCATTAATCGTGGTTTAAATCTAATGCTCGTGGCACGCAATAAATTTAATAATAATTAAGTTAAAAATAAAAGCGCTTTAATTTGTTTGTGGTGTAGTGCTTCTTGCTGCATGCTGTGTCTCTTCTCTTGATGTTTGCTATAAAATTATTAATTTTTGTTGTTGTTTTCCGTGAATAACAATAAAGAATTACAACTGTATTCAACTAAGCTTATTCTCTGCATCATTTGCTACTTTCTCCCACTTTTTCTAATAAAAACTATTTCTCGATTTATACGTATAACTTTTTGGTAATTTCCACATTTTACATTAACTCTGCATCTCTCTGTCGCTTTTAAACACCTTTCATTCATTTACTTTTGCACCATTTTCATCAAGAGGTCGGTTGAGAGGGATTTGGGCCTCTCGATTGGCAGACCCAAGGCACGATCCCAGATCAATGAAGCTAACACACCAAGGGCACGGGAAACACCGAACAACACGGTGTAGTAGTTCATTTCCTTCATGCCATAGTATTGGAGCAGCACACCAGAGTGAGCATCTACATTTGGCCATGGGTTCTTGACCTTGCCGGTTTCGGTAAGGATTGGTGGAACAATCTTGTAGATCTTCGATACCAATTGGAAGAGATCATCGTTAGGCAGGTGTTTAAGTGCGAACTCACGTTGACAGGTGTAGCGAGGATCGGTTTTACGGAGCACAGCATGACCATAACCAGGAACAACCTTTAAATAAATGGAAAAATATAGTTGGGAGATAATATTCTTTGAATACTAGGAAATGTATTCTTATACGCATAGCTAATACAACTTACCTGTCCGGATTTCAAAGTCTTCCAGACGTAGTCTTTCAATTCGTCCTCAGATGGATTAGCACCCAATTCCTTTTGCAATTTGCGCAACCATACTAATACTTCCTGATTGGCCAAGCCGTGCAAAGGGCCAGCCAAACCATTCATACCGGCAGCAAAAGAGAGGTAGGGATCGCTCAACGCAGATCCAACCAAGTGTACAGTGTGTGCAGAAACGTTACCACCCTCGTGATCACTGTGGATGGTCAAGTAGAGTCGCATTAACTCGGTGAATTTGGGATTATCATAGCCCAACATCTTAACAAAGTTGGCGGACCAATCCTGACTGGAGTCGATCGACTTTGAGCCTTTGCCGCCACGGTAGGTATTGCAATAGATGGTTGCGGCAACGACAGGCAATTTGGCAATCAAGTCCATGCTGTCCTCGTAAACGTATTCCCAGTACTTGGTCTTATGCACACCCTAAACAGCAAAATTGAAGATAAATTGTAAATGAAATAATTTCAATATTTTTTTAATATCATCTCCCTTACCTCTGAATAGGCTTTAGCGAATTTGCTATCATGGTTTAATGCGGTGACCGCGCAAGCGAATTGTGACATTGGGTGCAAGGTAGTGGGCATGTTGTTCAGCATGGTTACAACATGTTGTGGCAGTGCAGCACGTTCGGCCCATTCCTTGGACAATTGTTTGACTTGTGACTTTGTTGGTACTTCGCCAGTAAGTAATAACCAAAAGAGACCTTCGGGCAATGGCTCCTCGCCACCATCGGCTTTAGGCAATACCTTTTGGCATTCAGGAATGGAGAGACCACGGAAACGGATACCTTCATCTGCATCCAAAACAGAGGTTTCACAAACGAGACCCTTGATGCCGCGCATACCACCATACATCTGGGCAAAAGAATATCAGTCAGTAACAATTTTCCATAAAAAATGTTAACTTCAATTTAGCACTATGTGTAAATTATGGAATATCCCATTATATTCAACCAGAAATTTAAGTCATAAAAAATATATAATAGTAGATAAGTTTTAAGTATAAAGTAAAGAAAAGGTTAATTTAGTTTGTATTTTGAAAAATATAAATTACATAACCATAATCTTACCTATCTTTTATATTTTATATGTAGATACTTTTGTGTTTGTTTATATATGTATGTATATATTTGCCAATAGGTTCTGTTCATACGTATTGAAATGGCGAAGTGCCAGCGATTATACAATATTGCACACTGCAAATTTGTTTTTTATTTTTTGGGGTAAACCGTAACTACTTCTCGATTTTTTATTACACAATAGTTTTTATTACGATAAGAAAGAGCTTTTACATATAAGAGAATGTTCAATTCAACTTTAGCAAGTTAGATGGGAAAATATTTTCCACGCGATTTACCAGTTCAAACAGTCAAAAATTTTAGTGTGGAATTTTTGAAATACCTTCGTAGCTTTTATACATATGTACAAATGTATATGCAAACAAATTGTTTTTAAATTTTGTTGCCAAAATATTATAGCAAATTTATATATGCATAAAAAATTATCGTTATAGATATGTATATACATATATATTATATTTCTTAAGCCAGAAGTGTTTTATTACTTTGTGGCTAAAGAAAGTTTGTCCATACATATATACTATGCTGTTATTCTTATTTGGCAAAATCTTATCCAAATTGCCTGATTATAAATAGTTTATTATCACCTACTTACCATATCAATTGTGGTTTCACCGGTTTTGGTAGCACCATATTGCTTCCTGAAATTCTTTACACGTTCCTGTTCTGCTGGAATTTTAGCAGCGAGCACATCACGCAAGCTCGAGTCGGCAGAGATAAAACGCACTAGAAGGCCATTTAATTTCTAGAAGAGAGAAAAATAATAATTAATTATCCATCAATGTTTTATTTAAAAATATATTATAAAGACATGGGTTCATGAGCAAAAGCTTTTTTTTATAAATGGCATACAAAAAACACTTATTTTAAGGGCAAACGACCAATGCTGCCCGAACTAGGCAGAAGGGGTAGACTCGTATTATTGTTAAGTGTGAAGTAACTATTGATTTACGGGAAGTCATTTTACAATATCATTATCATTTGGCCCTAGCTGCCATTGTAATTGAACTCTATCCATCAGCTTAATCAATTTGATTCTCCCTTCGTGTGGCATCACTTCAATTTGCACAAGTGAGCAAATTTTTTAGGTATTGATAAGTCGTTTTTATGAGTGACGAGCTGGACATCAACTCCACATATCCTTCAAAGTTCAACAAATTAATAAAATATTGGAAAAGTAAAAAAATTAATGTAGGTGCCCTTCCAATTTGAAACTCAAATTTACTTCCTTTGCAGAAAAAATAAAGAGCACAAGCTGGATTCTCAAGTACAAGTCATTCACATATTTATGTATATATTAATAGACAAATATGTCTACCTACATGGCCATAAGTGATGATTGATTTAACGTGATTTTACTCCGTCTGAATGATTCTTAGATGTCACTGTTTTCTTATAAATTCGGCTTCACATTCAAAAGGAAAAGAAACTAGTTTCGACAGAGCTGATTCCAATTCTTTATATATGCTTGCGTTTGCGTAGTCTGCAATGGCCCATAAGAAATTCTGCTGGTATTCTAAAGTTATTGTTACTAAGCTATATGATGGCTTTCAATCTTCTGGAATTGTAGCCACCCATAAGCTTTTTCGATTGTCTGATCCCGTCACTATATACTACACCGTTCTTTGGTGGGTGTTTTATAAGGTTTTTCCGAGAAACAAAGTATTCATGAGTTCTTAAAAATACCAGGTGAATGCACTCTAACTGGTTATGATTAACTTGAAGATGTTGAGATGTTGAGTAAACCTCGGTCTCAAATATTAAATAAATCTTTTGGGAAACCCCGCAAAGTAGGTATGAACATGTGTATGTATGTATGCATACACTTATTATAATATTGTAATTAATTTAAAGCGGAAGAATTTACAAGTACGTACAAATGTACGTTGCATACATAAATAACAAAACAAAACGCAGCGTACATACATATGTATGTGTGTATTTATTCTAATTAAAAGTTTCGAAAACATTCGATTGAGTGGATCAGCAGTTTAGAGGGCAACCAATTGCATTATACATATGTATGTATATACATACGAGTACATCACCACTTATCGCACGTTGTGCCGACACATACGAATCGACTTGTCAAATTCTCACACATATACCACCATTTTGCGATAATCTTCATAAATTTAATTTAATTTTAAAATACGGTATATGAATACTTACATATATTAAAATACAAAACCAAGAAATATTTTGGCATGCTATGCGAATGATAACGAATAAATATCGAAAAACAATAATAATATGAAATATGAGCGACAGAAATGTGCTGTTTTGGCGGTAATGGCAATTCATCGTATAAGTGAAAGAGCAAAAGGGAATAAATGTTGAGCATGTGATTGTTTTGAGTCGGCGTTCGGCTTCAAATCCAATTTGTAAACGAACGATGATGACAGTGTTTTAATTTAAATATGCATACGCGTGTACAAGATGCTTTTGTGATGTATGTACATATTACGGGTAGGTAGCAACGAGCGTAAATGGGTTTGTTGTCACCAAGCAGCAGTAGGTCAACGAATTCGATTAACTGTTGATCTTGCCCGCTTAAGGACCGCGTCGTAATTGTTTCACTCTCTGTGTGTTGAAAACGGGTTTAATAGATGCGATATAGTTTGCGCTGACCTTTGTAATGCAGACTAAAAATTAATTGCATGCGTAAAATTATAAATCAATTTGCATTCAAACTACCGATATTAATTATCACCATACTTAGACTACGAAATTCACGATTTTACTACAATACATACATGAATCGCTAAAAAGCGCAGGAAGTACCATGAATAAGGCCATTATAATTTTTTACAGCAAATTAAAAACCAGCTTGCCTTCAATCATCAAAATGTAGTAGGCAAATAATATATGTATACTAAAAAATAGAGCTTGTAAACTTCGCGCCGGATTAAATATACATACGTACGTACATAGATATCTGTTATAATATTGTATATACAAATGTATGTAGAATACATGAACTTGAACTTTGCGAGACATCGATGTGTGCGAGTCTGGCGTAAAATCGCAAAATAACAAAGTAACACGCTTACGATTGGCAGTAGAAGGCGACAGCGCGCATGAGGTGTATATATTTATTTTGCTTTTGCTATATTTTTTTACGATCGTTAAACTGTGATTAAGAGGCATTTGCAAAATGTGAGTATGCGCATTGATTATGGCGTCATCTTTTGCAGTTATGCAAGCCTAAGCGTCTGTTTTAGATTGCTATTTTTTTTAAATAATGTTGATTGACAAATTGAACATGCGATTGGAATTAAAGCTGATAAACAGAAATAGAAATTCGACTGTAAATTGTTGTAATCTTCGCAGCGTTATCGTCAATCCTATGAATCTCAGAGAATGAATGGAACAAATCTCAATCTGATTTAATGTTGATAACTTAAATCGGTTCACATTAGATGAGAGAGATTTGACTCTATGAAAAATGGAAATGAATGCATATAAGCTGAAAACTCAAGTTAAAACTTGAGATGAACTTCTGTTTACCTATGAAAGCCAATGATGAGTGAAATCGTGGCTGACAAGCTTCACTGAGGTTTCAAGATGGCACGTGATCAGTGGGTATTCGTTCTTAATATTTTGGGCCTAAAATGATAGTGAGTGATTTGAGACTAAATTAATCTTCAATTGAAAACAAACAACTAAGTTTCTTGAAAATACATATGCATGTAAGCTGTTGGCGCGATCACTCACTCAGATCATTTCACACTCAATCATAATCCTTTACTCCCAGCTATGTATCATTTATTTGCATAAATGCATATAAAGCAGTAATTTCCCCACCGTCAGCACTTTCATCACAGCAAATTGTTGGCGCGAACAAATGCAGATTTTCTTTTATATCCGCAAATGCTTTTTTATATTCATATAAATCATCGTAAAACTCAGTCGTTAAGAAGTGCTTACCTGAATAAATAAGGAAGATCAAAATCACATACATACATATGTATGAAGAGTTACCCAAATCAATTAGAAACCTTTGCGGTATCCTAAGCGTCAATGCGGAAAATATTTTATGTGATCTTATGACAAGTAAAGCTAGTTGTGTTTTAAAGAAAAATACGAATATAGACATTTCAATCGGAGCGCAAGAGTAAGATGAGTGCTTTTGTCGGCGCTCAGGTGACAAAGTTTAATTATTTATTTTAATTTTTTTATATTAGCGGTTGCGTAAACAAAAGCGAGTTGCGTTTTGCTAGTTTTTGCATATGTATTTAAGTATATGTATGTTAGGGTGTAAGGTTGAGCACTCAATATTTGTTCATCTCTATAATTTGATATATTTTTATTTCATTTACTTTCAGATTTTGTTTTACGACGAAAATATATACGTATATATCTCTTTATTTTAATCTCTACCTAATAGTGATTAATTTATCTAAAAAAATATAATCATTTTATACTTTTATATAATCATAACTGTGTAAATTTTATGAAAATCTATAGAAAATTACTACATACTGGATAACAAAAAATAAACGAGTGATTATATGGTCAAATGTAGGTTAACTATAAATTCGGTAAATTAATTCGATAAAAAATATAAAACCGCAAGTATAAATATTTTCGTTTCATATATATATATATTATGCATATATATATATATGCGTTTCAAATAGAAATATTATATAATATATATATATATATATATATATATTTGGTAATCAACTTCGAATATTATAAATTTATACATATGATTCATAAAAGACCTTGAAAATGTGCGAATTGAACGACACGATTGGTAGCGGTAATAGTATATTGCCAGCCCTCAATTATATTTAATCGCAATCGATAGAGAGCAGAATAAATTACTTAGTAAATTTCTAAATATGTATGTACATATGTGAATGTTCGAAAAAAGAAAAAAAAAAAAAATAGTCGATTTTAGCCAAAATGCATATGTACTTGTGTACATATAATAAATTGCTGTCCTACGCTTGTAGATCATTTTCATTATCATCATCATGTGATTTTGTACGACACTGCTACATGTATTTGTATACAAGTAGCATATTTATTGTGTGAATGGCACAAACACGAATGATAACTGATTGCAACAGGTAAGTTATAGAGAAAATTAAAGGAGTTGTTAACACGTAGGTATGTACATACATTCATATTCATGTGTGTAACTTTTTGAATGTGGTTATAATTAAATGTTTGTGTATGTGTATGCCTTAGCTCGGCCCCCTTTTATTTGAGGCATATTTTTTATCTAACTTTTTATGTGTGTGTAAATATATTTTACATATATTTTATAATTGTAAGCAGCTACAAACAATTTAAAATAAGCTAAACCAAAACTAAGTGTTCAAGATAAGTCTTTTAAATTTTTACAGTAGCAAAATAATACATTTCTATCTAGCTGGTTATTGACGTCAGCGAAAATTGGCATGTGCTAAAATACTTTATCTAATCTCAATTGTAAAGTTAAAATTAAGTAAAGGTTACTTGCCGACTGCACCAAGTACAAATTGTTTTTCGTTTGTACTACGAATTTCTGTCTTGTTAATAATATCAACTTCATAAATATTTTTTTTTACCTTCCAGATGTGGCAGAGTGCCAGACGCTCATAAACTAATTGTTTTTTTTTTTCATTTTCTTTTTTAAAAATTCCCATCATGAACAAATACAGCGGCAATTACTTTGGCGAGCAAAGCTCTTTGTCTGTTTGCTTTTAAATGCATGTGCATAAAAAAAAAAAAATAGTTAACATGTCATGCGTGACAACCTAACTGCATGTTATAAAAAAACTTATGACATTTTAGCTGAATGCAGTATTCAAATTTGATTACGTAAAAAAAGAAATTATTAAACTGCAACTTTTTATTTAAATCAATTTCAGCCAATGTATATTTCCCTTGAGCACATTAGACCCACATACATACATACGTATGTATGTAAAAAGTGGCGGCGCATGTGTGTTATAACCACAACGTCAGCAAAATGTATAAAAACACTGCCAATCTATGGCACGAAGGATTAAGCATGTAAAACAGATCGAAAAGAAAAGAAAATGCAAAGCAAATGGGAAATGTTCATTTCAAAATTTCCTACTTCAGATTCATATGTGCAGTATGTATGTACGTAACAGAGGCATTTGCCTCTACTATTTGCGAATTTGTTATTGCCATCAGTTTTCTTAACAACGAAGTTTGTGAAAAATCAATATATCACAGAAATCAACTGAGCAAAGAAATACTTACAGGGTTAATTTTAAATTCATGTGTGCTCGTTTTTTGTAACTAATGCTTTCATTTTTAGGTTGTCAAATTTTTTTACACATTTATTTTATTGAAAACTTGTGTATGTCTGCATAACGAGTTTTTTTATTTTTTAGTATTTTTTAATTTTTTGAGAAATTACCATTTTTTTGTACATATATACATATGTATGTGTGTATGTGCATGAACAGCTATTTATATTTAAATTGTAAAGCAGTAAATTTGACAAATGTAAATAATTATTTTGTTAGTAGCAAGTAAATTAAACTAAAAATATGTAAATTTCTTTGAAGCAATAGGTCAGTGCTCTCTAAGCCTAAATGATTTTCAACACAGCCGATCATACTCGTGTATGCATATGTTGGTATGTATATACATATATGTATATATGTATAAAATCATGCAGTATTTTAAACCAGTTTGCTACTTCTGTAATAACTGGCATTATAATTGCAAATAAGTTCATTTAAATTTTAGCAAATAAAAGAAATATAAGCGAAAATACTGTAAATCACACATTAATATGCAACGTGCATATCTTCTCGTATGTGTTTCCTGGTACTGGTTGCATCTGCTGTGATCTTAAAGTGCATGGACTTCGCAAGAAAATATGCATATGTACAAACATATATGTATATATGTCATCCACACGCGCCAACTGAATGCAATTTGCATTTTTTTTACTGTCACTTTAATGGAATAATTGGCATTGCCCGTTGAACTCGTAAATCATTTAATTCAAATATATCTAGGATGTACAAGAAGCTTGTGATAAATGAGCTGGAAGCTTAGTATAAGTACGAATTAATGTTAATAGATTGTGTATAGCATGAGTCCGGCTCATTCTCATTCAAATTAATAGCCGATAACTATGATGAAAAGTTAAAGATAAGCAACTTTAATAAAAAATTAAGAAATCAGTTGAATCTGTTGGCAGTTGGCCAATTTCTTTTTTTTTTTTGGTATTTTTTTTTTAACTATAAACAGATCATGCAAAATATATTTATATTTCTTGATTTTTTTTTAATATGCTTTTCTACATATGTACATACATATCGACATGTATTTTCGTATGCGCATCAGTATAAGATTCTACATCTGTATCTCAAAGTCATATATTTATAAGTCGTATTTTTTGCTTTAAAAATTTGTACAAATGCACGAGTATTTACACAGTAGCAATACCGTTTGCATTAATTTACAATTATATACATTTGATACATTTTATACTAACATTATTAAATATCGGCGAAAATTTGCGACTAGATATCAGCTGGCAGGCATTTTATTTGAGAGTTTAAGTGGTAAGTATGTATGTACACAAACTGAAGAAAGCTTTTTTTGTGAGTACATATTGGCACTACGAGTGTTATCAGTTTGATGATAATTTTTTTGGGTAAAAAATATGTTTAAAAAAATGTTCTAGAAAAAAAACTGTAAAAAAATATAGTAAAAAAACAGCTAATAAAGAATTGGTATGAACTAATAAAACATTTTTTGAAAAACCTATTTTAAAAAATGTACTTCATACGCTAACAACACTTTCTTTATTTCTACTTGCTATAAAAATTAAATAGCTAGGAATAAACCAACCCAAAGACTGAAGTTTCGTATCAACATTTCATTTGATTAACATATTGGAGATGCGTTTAAAAAGGACGAGCCTCCAGCATACAACGAAACCATTCAACGTCAAGAAACTCACTTCAACACGTGGTTAGAATTTAACGATTTGGGCGCCGTAGGTTTTTCGGCAAAGTTTACTAGATGACAGTGAACTTTTTAGTTATAGCAGATCAAATTCCTATATGGAAGTTTTGAGTTTTTAAGATTCAATGAGAAGTACTATTTTTTGATCAATCTGTTTTTTATGTACTTCCGCCGAAACATTTTTAATATTAATATAAATTAACTAAAACGAAAGATTAAAACCATCTAACAAAGTAAGCTTGGCACTTGCCATTTTAGATAAAATTATGCCGCCATTTACTAATAATAAAAAAACAATACCCAAGCTTACATTACTAATTAGTAACGAATAAAGTTAATTCAAATAAGTATACATACATTCATATAAATGTATGTACACCCGCTTGTAAAAATATGTACATACATATGTACATATATTCCGCACGAGCCAAAAGGCCGTCAGTGAGTGCTTCAGAGTGGAAAAAATGGCACTTAGCGCGAAAAAGCGATGGTTACGCAACACAATGTTAAATAAAAACACACATGTATACATACATACATTTCCATATGTAGTGAATATGAACATTATACATATGTACATACATATGCAAGCATTATTCCAGCAATTTTGTACTATTTAACCTTATCACTTTAATTTTATGCTTAACCAAAAAAAAATTTCGCTCAAGCAGCAAAGGGAGTAACATTGGCTATGCATCCTATATAGTGTTGGCGTAGCCGTAAATATAAATTAGTCTAGCGCTGAGCATGAATGTTGAAATGTTAATGCAGGGAAATGGTTAGCCTGGTAACATTTATTAATTTTGATTTTACTGTAATTATATAAACTCAAATATTCTTAATCGAATTTTAGCATCTAATAACAAATTCACAAAAAATTTTCCGAAACTATTAATTTTTGCATAATTTCTATAATCACATTTTTCTTCTTTTGCACGACGTTATGTAATGTTAAGAATTATCTTTTTCTTGCTTTCGGCGCAGCGGTTGCGTCGCTGCTCACAGCTACACACAAACAAGCATAGCCAACGATGAAACATGCTCGGATCTCTGCTTTTACTTGCCTTTTATATATATTTGTTTGCGTGTATATTTCATAATCACGAGTTCGCAAAATGTATCGTTTTTCTCGAATGCCAACGTAGCAGTATTAACAATTGTTGTACGTAGTAAACATCGCTTTTTCCCACGTTTTTTTTTTTACTCCTTTATATTGCAATAACAATTTTTTACAAAAAAGTGGGAGAGTATAGAAGGAGCCACTCTCAAAAAGCGGAAGTTTCACTAGTGAGAGAGAGAGAGAAATTAAAAATTTGTTTGCGTTTGTATGGTTCGGAAATGAGAGAGAGAGAGAATGGATAAGTGTGAATGAGGGCAAATGACGGTGCGTACGTGCAAAGTTTTATTATTATGAAATTATTGTAATTAACATTATTATTTGCATTTCGTGAGTAATATTTGAATTTGTCTAATAAAATTAACTAATCTCACACATTCCTAGTGCAAACGAAGGCAATGGGCGTAAATTATTCAAAAAAAAGCGCTGCCTCCGATTACAAGGATATAGCGGCAGCGACGCAGGCCGTAGCAGCGATACATATTGAGTACGTAAAAGTCACGAAAGAGAAATAATGTTTTTGAACTAAGCAAATAAAACGTAATATTAAAAAAAATACCTTGTAACTCAAAAAATATATAATTATACCTACGAATTATAAAAAAATAAGAAAACATTTAGTTCATATTAAGAAAATAAGAAATTAAAAGAATTTCAGTTTTAAAATGTATGTATATGTATATGCGCTCTGCCAACCACCACTCTTACGTCATGTTCTTCTCAAAAAGAAAATAGTAACCTTTCACAGTTACCTTTTACGTAAAGTTGATTTTCTAGTACTTGCCTATCTCTTTGTTGTTAAATGCATCGTCTTCCCCTTCATAGCAAAAAAAAATCCTGGCAACGTGTTATGCAAATTTTGCGTCTTACCGCGTGTTCTCATTTTTCCTTTTTTCAAATTACTTCTGATTACAAAATCTTTGGTGCATATGTATGTATATGTTATTGGTAGGGCGCAGGTAAAAACTTTATAAAAACCAGGTGCAAACGCTTATACCTACAAATTTACGTGTGTATTGTAAAAAAATCTGAGTGTGTCCACCCGCATCCATGTGCTATCACTATAGATTTGCTTTTGCATTGCAGTCGCAGACAAATGTCGGCAGCTTTTTACTTTTCGTGTTGACATTGCGTTTTTAATTCTTTCACCATTGGTATACTATTTTAAAATACTATTGTATACTATAATTTCCCCACCAGTGTCCTCTCAAGCATTTTCCTTATATTAGAAAACCATGCATGTGCATATTTTTGGTTTTACTCACCTGCGCTTCGGGCAGTTTACGCGTTGAAATACGATAAATCGACATTTTCCAAATGTATCAGCAGCCGCGTGTAAATCTTAACTCTTTTGTTAAAAACGAGAAAAATTAAAAAAATATGTAAAAAATTTGTAAGCAAACTACCTAACAACAAAAAATTCTGTAAATAAAACTACTCTCGCTTTAAATTTAGTTCTTCTAATTGGCCAAAAAGCATCAAATCTTGAAGATGTTCGAAAAATAGTTTAATATTTCTTGTATCACACTCGCGATATATTGGATTCACAAAATTTTCCAAATATTTTTCATCAATTACATATTTTTTAACCTTATTTTTACAACAGTACGTGCGCTCTCTTAATACAGATAAAGATATGTATGTATGTAAAATATATTTTATGTATGTACCAAATCGGATTTTGCACTGCCACTAAACCGTACACAGCACAAGCACAAGAATCGCACTTGAGTTTACCAAACAGACTGACTGATTGACTAAACTGCTAAACTTACTGCCTAGTAGTATTGCAACTGTTGGACCGGAGCGATCAGACGATTCGACCAAACGACAACTGACTAGGAAAAGAACAAACTGCTGGCTATGGGCTCACCAAAATTTAATGATACCGCTCACTACGCTGGCTAATGTCGGGCTTATATGTACTACCACTATTAAACGTTGCGCATGTGGGAGTTGAAGGGGGAAGTGGAGATATGTGGTGACTTCTGATTATTTTAATGGCAACATGCGGTGTGCTGCCACTATGTTGCGGTTAAAATGGGTGAGCAATCTGGCAAGAATTTTGAATTTGGAGAAATTTCCGATTGAAGTCGATAATGCAGTGTACTTCCCAGTAGTGCTGCGCTACCAGCAGAGAACTAGCCAATGAGTGTACAATGTTAAAGGAAATATATTTAAATAGGTGTAATGTTATATTAAAAAATAATTCCTTACCTAATTATAAGAAATGTGTAGATATACAGAAAACGTGATCAAAATAAACATAAATAAGAAGAGTTGAGAAGTATGGGGGCAGGCTAGCATATACTACAAACGCCGCAAGTGCCAATATCATATACAAAATAACAATAATACAAAATGTTTATTTCAATTTCACTGATATTTAACTGAAATTCTGAAGCAATATTTGTTTTAAACACTAAATTTAGTTAGGTTTAATTCATTTTCTATGCCAATAATTATGTCAGAAAACTGGAAATATCGTTGCATAGTTTTAGGAAATTAGCAAGCCACATTTCTTTGTCAATACTTACGGAAGCCAACGCAGGGTGCGGTATATGGTACTAAAAGTCTTAAAAATAATTAATAAAACACACTATTTATTGTAACTAAATACTAAATTAAAGACTTACTCGTTTGCATGTCGAAGTTTCTGAGCGATTTTGAACAGAGATTTCTCTGGTTTTGGCGCTTTGACTTGATGTTATGCCTATAAAAAAATATTGTATAATGGTGTAAGAAGCCGCTAAAAGGCTAGTTCCAGGGTAACCTCACTACGCATTTTCCTTCAGACGATCAAGTAACATATTCTGAGGACTCCGCCTTTATTTGTTGTACGTAAAAAGATGTTTTTTCTGAATACCTAAATATCTCTGTTTCGGTGCTGTAGACTTCTATGAAATTCAACTCAAAACGAAGAATGAAGAATAATTGCAACTTCATATTTGCATATAGTGAAATTGCAATTTAGTGGAAAATGTTTTAGTCTAACTAACGAACTATTAATGTTCATTTTGTTTTGCTGTGCAATATCTGTTTTCCTCATATTTAAAACAGTCATTCTTTTATTTCCATTTTCTCGTTTGGGGTGAAGCTTGATAAGTATCTTTGGTTCTTCAAAATTCTCACATGAAGAAGACTTCTGAAAGCTAACCAGAAGCTGAAATTCGGCAGCTGCCCCAAGTCATTTGCATTCAAATACTTAAAAATTCCCACAAAAAATACAGCTTCCTTTAAAGCCTAGACAAAAGTACTATTTTCTAACATCTTAAAAGCCGTTTCACTTGATCAGAAGCTGTTTAATCACACATATAGGAAATAATTCAAAGTTGGGCAGCTGTTCGTCCGGCAACTTACTCCCAATTGGTAGCCGCCAAAATAATAGAAAACCATACTAGTTTTCTAAGGAAACGAGATTAATTGATTGCCAGCAATTTCACAAAAGTCCTCAAATAGAAGCTTCCTTACTTTTCTTAGCTTTTGCTCTATTGTTCCCATCAGCTATTACCACCATGTGGTCACTCCACATTGTCAGTCAGTGGACAGTCCCTAACATCCTGCGCTGTGTCGGCAAGTCGAGTTCCGTTACCTTTTGCCGAAAACAACTATGCTAATAATCTAATGCTGTGCTTCCTTTTGTTCAGCTGGCAAGATACTACAATTGTAGTTGAACTAGTTCTCCCCTCTAAATTACGAACTATGAAACAGCCTGATGAACAATGTGCTGATCGGTGACTATTAGCGGCATTGTTATGAAATGGATCAACAATATCAGTTGTTTGGACGATGTGCTTTTGTCCTTACGTTAAGATAAGCAAACGGCTTTTGAGGATCCTATTGTCCTAGAACATGTGAAGATCATCCCAATTTAAGAGTAAATGTGATCGAACAGGTTTGTGAATGGCCAAGCGGGCAAAGGATTGGAGATACGGCCAGTTTTTAAAGGTTACATAACTGATTTAAATTTTTTCTTATTGTAGCTTTAACGGCTTTTAGAAGTTCAAAACATAAATATTTTTCAGTTTTTGATTTAATCCTTTTCGAAAAGATTCACTTATAATGTTGGTTTGTCCGGGCAAAGGACTCAAATGGCTCGCATCTTTCTTTAAACGTCTTGAAAATTACGATTGGTAATAAAAGCACAATACTTTTTTCGTGTACTCAACAAGTTGAAACGAGGGAGCTATTTGGCATCGGTATCCAAAACTTCACTATTGGAAAACAGATCCTCTGAGACGGATATTGCGAACACCACATTATTGACTAAAAAAAAAAAAAACTACCCAGTATACGATCCCAGTGGACCAGAAGTAACAGTCAGAAGTATAATATATTTTCTCAGTTCATTTTACTTTTATTTTGTTCATTGTTGGCTGTTATATTTTAAAATTGCGATTTTTCCTTAAAAATAATAAATTTGAAAAATAAAATTCGCGAGAAAAAGAATGTACTGATCGAAGTTCAGCATTACCTCATTGTAATGGAATGTTATATGGTGACTTGTACACTTATGTACATATGCTAGTATGTATGTATGTACATATGCATGAATAGAGTGAGTAAATATAAATTGTAATACCTTCTAGATAAGAAGCCGTTACATATGTACATATGTATATGAAAAAATTAACGTGACAAATAAAAGTTACAAGATATAGTCAGAGGAGAAAAACAAATAATTTGTACAAAGGCTAGGAGAAAATATGTACAGATGCATGTTCAATTTTTTTAAATTTACCAACTCATATACATATGCATGCACATATACATATCTATATTTAAATCCCGATAAAACAGCAATAAAGTTACAGCAATTTGTTATCTAACAAATAACGTAAAACGGAAAACCTACATATGTAGTATGTATGTATGTATATAAATTTGATATTGTCGCAGTCAGAGGAAATTTCTCTACGCGGGGAGATATGAAAAGTCCACGGAATTTAGGTTTTATAGATTCTCTAGATACTTAAAGAATGAAGTCTAACGCATACATGTGTTTAGTTTAAGAAAACACTCTACAGAAACCATAAATTTTTTTTTAAAAGTATTTAAATTTTACCGAGTATTTAAATAATATTTTTCTTTTTTTACCGGCATGTCTCTACACATACAGATGTAAGTATATAACCAGAGAACGTAAATATAACGAGAAGGTTCAGGGCGTGCCGATTGTCATTTTGTTCCGCTTTTCAGTCGACGCCAGTTTTCTATGGATGCATTTCACCCCAGATTTCGATGAGCCCTGTTCACCACATTTTAACAGAGAGCTAGCAGAATTGTGCTCAAAATAGTAGAATGAGTACAATAATGAGAATTTCCATGCAAAATAAATGTAAAATGATAAAAACCTATTGAAGATAAATGTAAACTTGCATACATGTATTATCAGAAACTTCTGATTTCAATTTCTGTTTATTTGCTTATATTAATTTGCAAATTTACACATTTTTGCAATTTACTATTTTATTTTTATTTACTTATACATTTTTAATTTTTTACTTATAATTTTTAACACATAAATTAATGTCAGTCATGATAATACATACAAGAGACATAATAAAAAATATTTGATTAAATTTTTTCATGTATTAATTATTTTTGAAGTAAATATCGAAATAAGTAAACAAGTCAATATTCATTCATTCATTTAAACGTATGAGCGTGCGTGCATATTCATATATGTACATATCCATATATATATGTACGTATGTTTGCATATGTGTATTAAGAAGAAGCAAAACGTACACATCTAGCAAAAAAACCATACCATCACCATGACAACACTATTTTAATAGCAAAAAAAGTCCTTCTCAAGACGAACGCTGGCGCGCCGTCTACTAAACGAGCTGCGCAGACAGCACACACCTCCCCGCATGCGACTCGCCTACAAACCAAAGTGCCAAAAATTGGAAGTTGAACAAATTTGTGTTTTCTTCGACAACAGCAAATCGCACTCTCGATAGAGTGAACTTTTTGTTAAGAATTACAAAACTTATTTAAAATGAATGCCAAACAAATGTTTAGAAAAAAGTCTCATTATTTTTAAACATGAGCTTTTTCATTTAATTTATGTTTACAAATTCGAAAAAATGTAAAATTTAATAAGAAACTTGAAATCAATGAGGAATTAATTCACTTTATACAAATGACGCCCATAATTTCTAAAACTTCCTCGATTTTTAAATTAATGCATATTTTTATTATGAAAAATACAGGATTATTATTTAAAAAAGTTAATTAACTTAGGAAAATTAAAGATTTCAATTCAAATTTCAAATCTGTGAAGTTATATACGAATCACTCCATTAGCTGTTGACTAGCGACTGATATATTCGTGGTATACAAAGTTTACTGTACCTGAATTCGTACACCAAAATGCGAAAAATATGAAATCGAGCAAAATTTTGTGATCGTCGCGAAGAAATCGCTTGTGGATGGCGGGGTATAAGAGCAAGGGCTCGAGCATTGTTAAGATTGTGTGCGTTTTGCGTATACATATTAAATTGCTTGCATGTATGGGTTTTCACTTTGCGTGAGTTCAACATCAATTTTTCGATTTTGCTAAAATTTGACTTCGACTTGAGGAAACTGTTTGTTGGTGAAGAGTCGAAGGAAAGGGGGTTTACTCGTCTTCATTGAAATCGAACATTCTAGAATGTTCTAGAATTTTCTAGAACTCTTAGAATATTATAGAAATCCTCGCCACAATTCAACTTGTGGACAAGGTGCATGCGGGAAGGCAAGGAAATTGCTTGCTGTGCTATATGAAGTAATAGGCGAA